ACCGCACTTTGATGGCATCGGAACCATGATAAGTTCGCTGCTCTTTCGATCGAGAGCTGCGCGGGAACAACTTTCAAATATAGACGCGCGTTTTATTTTTTTTTTTTTTTATTTTTTTTTTTTTACGATTACAATACAGACTAGGGGTCTTCAAACCCCGGACCGCTGATAACCTCGAAGCTTTTCAGTGACGCCCAGCCCGCGGCCCATTGCTAAAACGCACCCAAAAAATGTGCGTTAAAAAAAAAAAAAAAAAAAAAAAAAAAAAAACACGCTTCTGTTTTGCGGACAGATTGCCCGATAACTGGAATGCCGCATTTTGACATTTCCATCTGAACGATGATTCCGGGTAAGTGGCATCGGGAAGAATTAGAATATCGAAAAGAATCAGTGTGTCGAACCGAAAAAAATACGGGTTCGGTTACGGTTCAGGTTCAGGTAAATTTATATTGTTCCGGTTCAGTTCCGGTTCGATTAATTCGATCCGCGAACCGGTTCGGGGCGCTGAACCGGTTCGGAAATTATAAATGACAAATTGCAACATCAAAATAAATTACAAATAAAACATCTGAAATCAGCACATACGAAACGGGATACATCGTAGTGTAAGGCTCGGGGATTTCTACCAGGAATGGTTTCTTTATGTGCACTCAAAGGTTACCTCACCGACGTTTACGCATTCGGACTTCATCTAATTGGGTCCGACGCAGTAGCTGTAAAATCCGCGACCTCCTTACAAACCCACTTACAAGTAGAACTCGCTAACTATCCCGCCACCTCGGCGTGTAAGCAATTGAAGGAACAGTGGGGAGAAAATACAGCTTTCTTTATTTGAACTAACCTTCGGTAACTCAAATTAGACCCTTAAAGAAGTTTTCATTAAACAAGATACGGAATATGAAAAACACTTCACCGAACGCAACGCCAGAAGGACGTAATAGGATAAATATTAAAATAGAAGAGTTCGCCGTCTCACAAATATGTTAGCTTCTACCGGATGCATTATTATCAAACTCCACAGCCTTTTCTTTTCTCATTCCGATGGAAGCAACCTTCGAGAACTCGCGCGTTCTAGAAACGTGTTATGAAATGAGCACACAGCAGCATTTAGGATTTACGAGATTGTAGGAAAATAAAATCCCGTGACGAGATTTTTTTTTTTTTTTTTTTTTTTTGCACAGTTTTCCAATTCTTTTTTTTCCGTGCAAGCCGCAACCAGCGCAATACTGGTTCCTATGTCAAGATTCATGGATGCAGCGTTTATATTCCTAAGACTGAGTGGAGAAGAAAAATATGTAAGCGAGGTGTGTGTCAGTTGACGGCACTTAAAAAACAAATGGCATTGATAGCACATTCATTGTCAACAGCGCGTGGCCGAACCGTTTTGACATGAGCCGGTAACCGTTATTTTTTTTTCCGGTTCAGTTCCGGTTTGGGTTCATCGCGATAACAATATAATGGTTCGGGTTCGGGTTCAGTTCCGGAAAAAATACCGGTTCGGTTCCGGTTCGACACCCTGAAAAGAATGAAAAACTGCACCAAAACGCGGATTCTCTCGCCATATTATTTACTGCAGGACGCTGTCATCAGTGCGTCAGCAGCCTTACTATTCGTAGTCCCCTGCTTCCTGTCTGTGTCATTATGATTGCATTTCTTTGCGTTCTCATAATTTCGTGCTTAGTGTCCTGTGTAATAACTCTTAAATATTGTCATCATCAGATCTACGATATTCATTAGTCTTCTGCCCTGTGCGACTATGCCAAAGTTCTTATGCGTTTTTTTTTACTTTTGCCTGGCGAGTTTCCTTCGTCAATGGCGCCACTAGGGTCAGCGGCACCCGGGGCTGTGGCCCGCGGCGACGAATCCCGGAGAAAAGCTCACCGGAGAAAAGCTCACCGGAGATAAGCTCACCGGAGAAAAGCTCACCGGAGAAAAGCTCACCGCAAAACCGGCGGATGCGGAGAAAAGCTCACCGATTTTTTTTTCTTCTTTTTATATGGAGGCTATTGGATCATGCGTAACATATATCAATTTATTATCATTAAAATTTGTCAGCTTTGTAAAAAAGAAAATGTTATTTTTTTTGTATTATTTTGTTAAGCTTACTGGGTATATTTCTCCCGAAATAATAATTGCGGGCGAGTGTTTTCTGGGTTTACTCTCTAGGCAACGAAAGCCCAACTCTAATTTGTATAACTTGAGGTACAGAAAAAAGTTCGAAAACTTAATAATGTCTGCCTTAAACCTAAAAGTCAAAACTGTAAATGCCGAAAATCGCAAAGTGCATGCGCGCAACAACGCGGTGCCTAAAATTCTCTTGGAAGCTTTTGTTAATTTTTGAAAATAGGACAAAACAGTCAGTACGATATCAAAACTTTTTTTCTTTCCCGAACAAGCACGTTTCCTAGCCGTTCGTGCTGGTGTTTCCACACGATGCCTTTGTGTGATAGTGCCTTTCTACGGCGAGCCACCCATGGCCTTCAGAGCTGCACACTGGCATTTTTGTTACTCGTGACCTATATAAGAAGTAGTGTTCTGTAAGGTGGTGAATAGGGCGAGTTGGTAAATGTCGTACATGATAAAAACCACTCAAACGGAGTGAAGACAACAAACATGACTGGACGAATCTGTTCTCGCAACTAAAGTTTTGTTAATGAAATTAACAGAAAAAAAAAAAAAACAGCGTAGTTGACACTGATTACATCAACAAACACCTACTTATCTATTAGGCACTACACAATATTTGAAACTGAAACGGTTCACACACCGCTATTCATATTAGCTCGCAAAGAACAAACATCTTTATTTGACAGAGCTACCGACGGCACCTTGCCAGTTGTCAATAAATTGTCTTCTTTTACCGATGTACGATGTTCTGACTTTATACTTGGGGCTAAATTAATGTACAAAAAGGGTGACTACTCATTTCTGATGAATTAGTAAATATGCCCAATGAACTTCAAGAATATTGCAAAAAAGTAGATATAGCTTTAATGTAGTGACGAATGCAAATTATGTTAAATTACGTTTGATGCAGAATCCGCTAAGTCAAAAAAAAAAATCGATGAGCTTTTCCCCGCATCCGCTCAAAGGCCGCGGTGAGCTTTTCTCCGCATCTGCCGGTTTTGCGGTGAGCTTTTCTCCGGTGAGCTTATCTCCGGTGAGCTTTTCTCCGGTGAGCTTTTCTCATGTGAGCTTTTCTCCGCCGCCCCGCGGCGACACCCCCCCCCCCCCCCCCCCCCCTCTTTGTGACGCCACTGCTCTTGGTCACAATTATTTTGTGTTATAAATAGCAACATTCTGCATTTAAACTCAAGGTATGCATAAGGTATATGTATTCATTCAGCTTTCTTTTTTTAAAATCTTTCTTCGTTTAAATACATGTACTATCTAAACGAGTATTTAGGCTTATTTATTATTTCCCTATTTATGTTGTCTTGTTTGTTTTCTGGCCCTCGAGACTGGGACAGGTCCCCAATCCGGCCCTTGGCCAAAATGTTTGGGGGCCCCTGATCAAGATTAAAGGCAGAGCTGTAATAGTACTGAGCATAATTTCCAAGCCTATCACACTAACTGAGGCGCTCACCCACCTTGGGCGTTACTCTCCTAGCACATCGGTGCAAAGCAGTGAAGCTCGACGCGTGTGCACATGCGAGGCAATGAAGGTCTACGAGAGTAGCGGAAGTACGGCAAGTGTGACTATAGCCACGAGATCGAGACATGTGGCAGACATGATAATCAAGTGACCTCATCAGGAGCAAAAGACCCTGGATCTGTATATCAATGTAGCCACCATACCACCATTTTGCAAATTTTCCACACTTCTAGGTCCCGACGTTGCCGACATCGTCTGCAAATCCGACGATGACGGAGACAGCGCGGTTGACCAGCCACCTCCACACTTCGTTTCATTATAAGTCGAAGTGCAGCCGACGCTACGAGCCAAAGGGACCAATCAAACAGCGTCAAAAGCGCGACATCATGACATTTGTAATCTTTCTGAGTTATTTCATTGACTAAATCAATTAAGCGCAGCAAATGCCCAGTGACTTGCACTTTTAGCATGTGTTTGCCGTTGTATGTGTTTGAGCCTTTGACTGTGTTCTGACCTAAGATGAAACAAACTCTACGGTGAGACACTGTGAAATAAATATTTGTACCATTTTTCTTTCTTTCGACTTGCCTAAATATTAGAGTCTACCAACAATAAAATATTTTAATACTTTGCTTTTGTATAAGCCCGTTTCAGTGCAGGTGCGGGGCAATTCTTAGAAAAAATGGCGTTTCTGCGCACAATGCAGCAGACTTTCGCTCATAATGCAATTTGGCGCAAATGGTGCAGTACTTCTATCACTGCGAACTTGTATGTCTCGGGAATAAATACCACAGATCACAAATGCAGCACATGTCACAGTGAGATAAATATGAGAGAACCCTCTGAAAACATGCTTGTCACCTGTGCCGGCACCACAGATAGCACGGTTTATGAGTTTTTCTACAGATATCGCATGATCGATATCCTGCAGAAATCGGGGAAATGGGCGATGTTTCAAAATTTTTATGTTATGGATATTGAGCCCATAAAAACGGGATGGGGGATGTCTTGGGGGCAGCTGTTCAGAAGGGATTTTACTATGTGGCTGAGAACAAGGGTAAACGAAAAAAGACTATTACCAAAAGTAAAACATGACGACATACAAAAAAAAATTCCATCGCTCTGCATCATAGTTAATGGCGGGAATGCCAAGCATAGCACGATAGCAGCATTCCTATACTCCGTTTCACCTTCCGTCCGAGCACAGCGGACGCTAGGAGCCATCCCAGCCAATGCGGCGTTGAGGGAGTGTCATGCGACCTTGAGCTCCCTGTGTCGCCCCGCCCCACCGGCAGGTCACGCGACTTTCTCCCGGCGCTGGATCGGCTGGGATGGCTCGTGGCGTCCACTGCGCTCGGACTGAAGGTGAAACGGAGTATAGCCACCTAAAGAAAAGAAGTGCACATTTTCTTTTTGCAGCGGTAATTTATTTAGAATACTTCTCGAGCATACCGTGCAGATCCATGTCCGGATGCCGCCCCACTCTTTAAAATGGGCGCCACTTTCTGAACCAGGACTCGATAGAACTCCAGGGGTCAAGTGCATCTCAATCGGACCCCCACGGTGATCATGCGGTGACCTCGAAGCGACTTCCGAGCACGAGTGATAAGATCACTGAGCTTTGGTGGCCTCTTGCTGCTCAAAGCGTGGATATATGGACGTCACATGCTCCCAGGTCACCTTGCCACGCACGAGGTCTTGCACAAGTGGGGCTAGGTCTTCGAGCTAGAATAAAAAAAAAAAAGAAACACTTTCAAAGGTCTGACTATACCACCGGAAATTACCAAAGAGCAATCTCGTTTACATTGTGGGGCACCAAACTAGGGATCTGGAATGCTAGCTGTAGTTTGAGGACTCTCAATGTATAATTGAGAAAAGTTTCGAGGCCTCTCAGCTATGTCAACCTATTCAGCAATTCAGCATTTTTGTCGATAAAGACTGGGTCTAACTGCTTTAGTGTGCCCCTTTCACCCCTAAGCCGAGACTGCGGTGGGAGCTACGTGTCCACTGGACCAATCAGCATTCTCCCTTTAGTCATCTGACCTAACTCTCTGAGCTTAGGCATGGGCAAAAGCACAATCACATGGCAAAAGAGAGGAGTATGACTCCTCCATCAAGGATGTAGCTTCCACGTCAGTCACAGCTAAGGGGTGAACAGAGTATAATAAAAGCATCAAGAAATAGGTAAAATTCAAATGGATGCTCACAGTGAAGAAATGAAATTCATCCAACTTACTATGACACTTAATTATTGTACCAGCAAAACAAGATTTAAGGAAAGAGGGGAAGATGGTCTTTAGTGATTTCATTTTAGTTTTCTGTAACAGACACCCCTACCATTTTCCCCCGCTGTAAAACTTGCAGCAACTGAAGCCAGCAACAACTGACATGCCTTCACCAAATCGCCTGTTAACTGGGATGCCGCATTTCGGCATTTCCATTTAGCTGGCGATTCTGGGCAAGTGGCATCAGCTGTTTCTGGCTTCACGTTCCCCTTTGCCGACACTCTGTATCCGTGGCAGCAGCTCTGAACAGTCAGATTGCATTACAGCATGTAAACTAACGCTTCTAAGGCACTTCAGACGACCTGCAAAGATCGGCTTTTCCTTATGTCGTGCTGCAATTTACTCCAGAGGTGGAAGCAGGTAGTGGACGTTTACAGTGAAAAAAACCCCAAAATGAACTTACCTCATTCAAGAACATAAAATTTACAGGTCAGATACATACTCGTCTGTGTTCTCGTACGTACTCGTCTGCGTTTGTATGTACTTGTCTGCGTTTGTATGTACTCGTCTGCGTTCTTGTCCTCTTTGTTTGTTTCTTCTGTGTTTTTGAAGTCTCTACCAACACGCTCCTTACGTTTTAATTTTAAAGCAAATTGATGGCCGAGGCAAATTCGCATAAACCCCAGGGGTGATTATTTAAGAGTGCGATAGCATTTATCGTTGCACATCGCCAAATTTAGCGGTGGAATCTGGATAGGTGCATGGGTCGCGACACCAATTTTTCCGCTAAACTTAGTGAGGAAACTCTCTGCCAAATTCAGTGTTGTCCTTTAGAACGGCGCAAAATCCTTGTCGTCCTTGAGATCACCCTAGAGGTAGTCCTTAGGTCATCCTAGATGTAGTTGTTAACATTGCCCTCTAAGACGTTGCCCTTAGGTGTCGTCTAGGATGACGTCAAAGACATCTAGAACGACCTCTAAGGCAACTTCTAGGACAACCTCTAAGGTGATCTCAAGGACGAACTTATGGACGACATCAAAGACGACCTCTAGGAAGACATCAAGGTCGTCAGGTCCTTCAAATAAAGTGCAAATGTGAAGGAGTCAGTACTGCCGCTCCGCATACTCGAGGTGCAATGGGTTGCAAGCGCACTGAGCGGAAATGGCCTATTGCACATACCTACTGCACATTAGGAGGCTAGAATATACATAGCTAAAAATCCTAGTAGTAGCTTAATAATATTATTGCATTAAAAACCTGCTCTGGGCAATCTACGCCGACCAATTTGGGTTGATAGTAGACAATCTCACAAAAAAAGTCAAATCGGCCGGCGCTCCCTTGACGCAGCGTACACAATTTGTCGGCAGCACTACCTACTCTCCGTGCATGCATCGTCTGCAAAATGGCAGCGTAAAGTGCTCAGAGCAGGTGTTTTTTTTTTCTTCTTTTGAACGAGATGAGTTTATTCACTGATATTTTTTACAGTAAACTTCCACCACCTGCTTGCATGCCTGTGGTAAATCTGCAGTGCCATACATTGAAAGAACTATTTTTGCGGGTCATCTAAAGTGCCTTAGAAGCACTAGTTTACATGCTGTATGTGCTTGAATGTGGGCGTGCTGCAAGACGAGGCGAGCACCGGGGCTTCCTTTGACGTGCATTTCAATAACTGGAATGTTAAACAGAGAGGAGCTTGAAACCAGACCTTATTACTAAATATGTGCTTCTTAGAGGAAGGAGGGGTAGTGTTTTTGAGTTTTAACAAACTAAACCCCAATGGCTACATCCAGGGGTTTAGTTATTTCAATGTATTGACTGCTACTGAGGTAACACTTCTTTGCAATATTTTATCGTTGGATAGTTAATACTGCCAATGGCAAGAGCGTCAATGCCAAATTCAGCTGCCAAAATATAGTTCAGTACAGATGGGTTCTGATGAATTCTAGGGTATGCTTGAGCCTAGACTTTATTCATTTTGCTTTTGATTTTTGAAGAAAATTGGGAACATAATAAAATTAGACTCCGAATTTCAAAGAATTAGAAACAGATGGCTTATGACGAATTTTAGGGTATGTTTGAGTCTAGGCTTTATTCATTTTGTTTTTAAATTTTCAGGAATAGGGAACACAATAAAATTAGACTCCAAATTTTAAAGAATTAGGAATCTAAGAACTCCAATAAACTCAGAATTCTCAGCGAAAAATACACTCCAAACAACACCCTTCTAATTTCCCCGAGGTATAAACTCCAAAACACGAGTCTAATTATAAGCAAACATTTCTCACAAACTTGTTTAGCTTTGATGTCGCAAATACCCAAATGCAAATGTGTGAACGAGCCTTCACATGCGCTGGCAGAAAATCAAAGAACCCTGTGCCAGCACTTCTCCGACCAATAATCCGAAAAAACTTCATGTGAGAGCGCATGACGACAGAAGCGGAAAGACTCACGGGGCAGCGGACTTGCTCCATGGAGTCTCTCTCCCGTAGGGTGGCGGTGGCCGGTTCCTTGAGGGTGTCAAAGTCCACCGTAATCCCAAACGGCACGGCCACCTCGTCCGTTCGCGCGTAGCGGCGCCCAATGGACCCGCTGCTGTCGTCCACCTTGTGAGGCACGTCGTGCTGCGTTAGCGCAGATGCTGAAAGAGGTGCAAAGAAGTATACGGGAAAGTGAGGGGACGAACCAGAATAAACGAAAAAATTACAAAGGAATGAAGCACAACGCTCGAATGGCTCGAAGGAGGTGTAAAACTAGACGTACCAAAGAGTTTTAGAAATCAAACCATGAATTCAGCCCACACAAGGGGGACATGTAGCACATAGGGATATGAAATGTAAAAATTCTGTAAAAACAAAAAAAACAAACGGAGCATCATTAAATATAAACAATGTTAACATCATGTATCACAGATGGGGTGGGATGATAAAAAAGGTTTTAGAATTTTTCCAGGTGCATTACAGTTATGATGACTATCAAGAGTAGCTTGTTTCAGTGGCTAACGGTGTGCAGCAGAGCTGAAAAAGCGAGTTCAGCATGTAAGCGCCTGCTATCGTAAAAATGCTTATGCCCCCCCCCCCCCCCCCCCCCCCTGCTTGTTATGATCCCCAATTGGAACTTTATGTATGTTAGAACCCCCTTTTATGCCTTGAGCGTGGTCCCCCGGAGCCACAGCACCTAGCATTTGTAAACAGGAGATGGCGGGTGGCTTTAGAATGGCTTGGAACTGTTTGTTTGAAGATGATTGATGACAGCTTTCAAGCAATAATTAGATCACATCTTTTTCCGTAAGAATAAATCCCACTTCACCACAACGATGGTGAATTGGATATACAGTGCTTTGCTCAAAAATAATCGTTCCATGTCCATAGAAGGACTCACCAATAACTTCAATGCGTGAAAGTCATTCTAGTTCCGTTTATTCTTCAGATATATCTTCCTTGTACCTTTCCTTTCCATCTAAACAATTATACAGTACATACCATATTTACTCGCATAATAAACACACTTTTTTTCCAAAAACATTTACACATATTTGGGGGGGGGGGGGTTCATTACACGGGGTAAAAGTTTTGCATTTACACACTTTATGTAAATGTTATATTAGGCGCAAATATGACACAACAAGATACGGTGGCACGTCTCCAGTGATGGAGGCGCACCCACGGCCGATGGGGGGCACGCCACAATAACCATGCTTTATAAATTGCAAACCTTTTCAGGGTGCTTTCGCGATGCATTTTGCCGAAGGAAATGTGCCCCACGAAGCTCACTCAGCACGAAAAGCAGCTCAACCCGCTCGCACGGATCAAGTTTCGTTCACGGAGAGGCTACCAGACACTCTCAGCCTACAGCGCAGCTGTGCCGTTCTGTTGTGGATTAAATAAATGCATTTACCCGGAGTAAGTGAAATTAGGTCTAACCATTTTCACGATTTCACTGTCCGAAAGCGGGCCACAGACGACGACTTGTTTGTTGACATCAATGAATCCGATATGCGAAGAATGTCTGGAACTCGACAATTCCTCGACCCAAACTTCGTCAAGTGTGCGCGACGCTCAGTTTTACGGCTGATCACTTCCGTAACTAACGCAAATATGCACTTGCGGCCATTACGAGAGCAGCCTGCCTTGGCTTGACTTGGCCAGACCACTTGGCGGCAAAAGAAAACTGGCTTGGCAACTTGCTAAATCGGACGCAATTCGAGACTCGCGGATCCAAAAATTGGAAGTGCGTTGATTGCGGGAGGGGAAAAAAAGTAAAAATATTGATGCCCATTTGGAGGGGGGGGGGGGGGGGGGGGGGGGGTTCATTTATTATGCGAGTAAATACAGTATAAACCAGTGTCTGCTCTGATCATGTGCACCGCCATGTTTTTTTATGCCATGACACACTAGGGGGGCTGCACTTTTTGCAAGACTGCTTTTTAGAAGTCTATGCAAATATCGTAGTGCAAGAATGTCAGAAATGCATAGTCACAAAGCTTCAGGAACAACCTTGATGCCAAGAGTGCTTTTAAAAGCAAAAATCTTGTTTTATGTGAAGCCCTCTTTTCACAAAAGCCTTCATTCGAGATTACCTATTATTTCGCATTTTTATCGCTGCAATTAAGTGTTTCACTTCCTGTTTTGTTTTGTCTTTAAACACATTGCAGTCGCTTTGTATAATCGTCATACTAGCCCTTACAGTACAAAAAAATAACACTACAGTCGCCGACTGATTTTTCGGACACGTCTGATTATTCGGACGTTCTTGCCGAACCGTCCCTCACCCCATAGAGTTCATGTATAACATTCACCAAAATTTTGGATGCCATAAAGCTTATTGCTGATTATTTTGGACATCATTTGCGTGATTTTCTTAGTTTACAGCCACAAAACAGCCGCCGCAAGCTTAGTACCTATTATTTTGGTTGTTCTGATTTTCCCCTGTAGCCTCGTTACCAGGTCTTATGCAATAAACAAGCTGGGTTGAGGCTATAGTCAAGTTTTCCGGTTCCGCTATAGCCAACATGGCCGCCGTCTGCCCACTCTTACGGTTCTTCCAGTTCTTCTTAAAGGACACATGCAAAGGAAAAAAACATTTTTTTTAAACGGCTTAGATGGAAAAAGGACGCCATAAAACGATTTTACAACGAAGAAAAAAAATTTTTAGAGCTATATTTACGGCGCAAAACGAATTTGAAGTTGGCGCCCGCGGGCACCGCGGAAAAGTGGTCTGTATTTATCACGTGACTGGTCTTTATTTATCACGTGGTGCTTGCGTTCTTTCGGAAGCTTCCTATAGCCTCTAAAAGTAACTTATTCATCTTTGTTTGAAGTATAACAAAAAACAAAGATGATTAAGTATCTTTTAAAGCCCAAAGGAAACTCCTGAAAAAGCGCAAGCAGACGTGATAGACCTGTGCGCCGGCCAGACGACGGCGGCGGCGCCCCGAAGCAGACGAACTTGTGCGGCGGCGGCGACGGCGGCGTGGAGAAACGCGTTGAAGCGGCGTTCGCAGAACGCTCAGCGTGCGGCGGCGACGCAGCGCGGCGGCGCGCGGGCCTACCACGTGACCAGCGGCGGCTCCCGCGAGCGCCAACTACAAATTCGTATAGCGCCGTAAATATAGCTCTAAATTTTTTTTTTTTCGTTGTAAAATCGTTTTATGACATCCTTTTTCCATCTAAGCTGTCTAAACGAAATGTTTTTTTCCTTTGCATGTGTCCTTTAAGGTCCGCGTTTTTCGAGTGCAACCGCGAGAAGAGCGGCCGTCTGCCGTTTTTGTGTTCTTTGAGCACAAATGTTTTCTGCCGATAGGATTAGTATTGAAGCGAGCTCGGTGAACTAAACATTGCCTCCAAACAGTGCCGAATGGCGCCAACTTCAACTTCGCGGTTTGTGCCAGCTAAGGCGCCGACAAAGCGCGGCATTGTGATCAACCAGATTAACAAACAAGCGGAAGTGAACAATCTAAAGCAGAAGTTGCACGAGAACTTAATATTGATATCAAGCAACTGGAAAGTGGCCAATACACAGCGAAATATCCGTGGACATTTGATATTTTTGGCTGAAATCAATTTTTCGGACCGCTTTATTCGCTGGACAATTTCAAGGTCCCCTCAGAGTATGGAAATAGGACGGCAACTGTATTTATAGTGAACCCACATAAAACTAGTTAGCAAAGTAAAAAAAAACAGGACAGCATGACATAATACAGATTATTCGGGACTCCAGCGACCTATAGGGATTGCCATATTTTGACAAATATGGTGGCCGAGAACAGGTCGCGCTGTGCCATGTGCCGGCTGAAGGCACAACGCTCTGGTATAAGCAGGCAAGAATTGGCTTCAAAAAGGTTTGCTCCAATTTTTATTCCCTACATTCAAAACCTGTGGTGGTAAGTTGGCACAAGTGAGCTTCCAAATGTTTAGCTTTCTTCTGGGAAGCGATGGAAGGACTACCCACTGTCCTTCTACCACACTAATGAATGTAGATAGATGCCGAATGTCTGGTTCGCGCAGTTGCATTCGGAGCGTCCTTGGCAAAACACCGACACGACAGTAGCAACGGAGTCGCCAGGACTGCAGTTCACATTACGCAACATGAGATGCAATGCAATGCACACTTAAGGCCATTACGAGTCACGGTCCTACTTGCGGCCCTGTCATTGCAGCAGTCTTTGTTGCTGTGGACACAACCAACGCAGCTTCCCAGACAGTCATGGAAGCGTCAAGAGACAGGCAGAAATCGCAAAAGGACCTATTCTGGCCAGTTCAGATTTTCCCACCAGGAGCAGTCCGATTTGCTGGAGTCGCGAGTAGCATCATCACAAAGCGCCCGCTATGCAGACACACCGGTCTCGAGCTTTGCGACAAAAATCATCAGTAAGAGACCGGCGCACACCTTACAAATTTGAGTCTCCATCAAGCAAGCCCAAATAAAGCCGCATGTCCGTTTGTAAATACATCAATGAGACAAATATTGAACAGGCCTGGACTCTGAAAGACATAGATAGTATTGGACACAAACTGACTCACAGATTCTCTGCACAAACTTGGCAAACTCCGGGTTGTTGCTGAGGGGCAGCACGGAGCACTTGAGGGGTGCCACAGCAGGAGGCAGGGAGAGGTACTGCAGAAGGAAGGAAGCCAGGGTACGGAAAACCGTTAGTTCACTCAGAGTTGGAAGGCAGGGACAAACTTGGTGGAATTACGTGAGCTCCGAATAGGCCGATCTCACCAGGAGTTGCGCGACGCCACCGCTGCCGCGGTGCATTCTGGTACCTGTAGTTCTCCCCACGGTTCTCCCCAGTTTTCCGGCCACGTCAATGCGCATTGTACGCTGCCCGGCGTTTGGAAATGTTCGGGTTAGCACGAGACTTATACCCGGGTGTTTGCTCATGATTTTCAATGGGGGGTTTCACCTGTTCTATGCCACGGTGCTACAATAACAGCTGCAGGCAAAAAGGCTTCGGATATTATGTCTTCCCGAAAGAAAGCAGCGTGGCAAAGAAAGGTAAACAGAGCCGGACAGAACGGTGGGAAAAATAGCGTTTTCGATTTGTTTCGCGATTTGCTTCATAATTTATATCCAACTATTCCACGTCAGCTAAAAAGTATAAGATTACAGGGCACGAGACACAGAGCATGCCGAAATGTTCCATACGTTGGAATCTCTCTGAGCATTCCCACCGCAGCGGTCTATCCGTTGGTCTATCTCCACTGCTTTGCTGAGGCCGTTTTTAATACACTTTTTGCTCAATGTATTTTGGTGGTTATAACTGTTAATGCGACGGCATGTTGCAAGTACAACTGTGCTTCAAAAGATCAGGCCAATCACTAAAAAATAGCAGCGATTCCTGATAACATCACTTGAAATAAAACAACTTTTTTCGGAAATAGCCTTCATTTTTTTTTTTTCATACTAAACGTGAAAACATTACATAATGCAATTTACAAGTGCAACACTCACCGCCAAAAATGTAACGAACGAACCTCACCTATTTTGTTGCGATCTATTAGGCTGGCGTTACTGATCCATTCTGCATTGGCACCAATCAAGACCGCAGAAATAAGCTTCCACCGTCGGGCGACTCTTAGCGTTCGGAGCTTGCGCAAACCAAATAAAACTGAATAGAAACTGTACACGAAAGATCCTCTCCACCCCAAGTGTTCAGCTATCTTGCATGGTTGCTTCTTTTTGACAGATGACAATTGTTGCGGCACGCCAGGCATAGCTTTTCTGTGGATCATTTCTTCTCTGTGTTCAGGCTTCTCCCCGCAGTTAATCTGTGCCCTGTTGCACAGGCTGTCAGAGTGAAACAACTTTTAGAAAACTATCGCTCACCGAGAAATTCTATTTAGCTCCCTTTATGTCATTGTTAATTAAACGCTATGCATAAGAATAAGCAATTCCAAGCTTAGTTTTTCACTAACACATTTGATGCTGTTCCGCGGTGCTACACAAAGCTGATGATCCCTCGAATTTTCTTGTTCTTTGCCATTTAACTAGATGTTCAGTTTCTAAGTTAACTGAGACGTCCGAGCAGCCAGAAAACTCTAGTAGTGGCGTCGTTGTTTTTCTACTGCAGCTGCAGTGGGACCACTGTGTGAACGGCAGTGTGCTCACGCGTTCACGAAGAAGAAGCAGACGACGTCGAAGCAGACAACAAAGCGATTCTAAAAGGTAAGACGACTGGAACTGCTTTTCTGCGCTTGCTGACAAACTAAGGAATCACAAACAACACGATCTTATGAGGTACAGACGTGCAGGAAAATCCAAACTGATACCGGGGCGTTCTAAACGGTTATCTACGATGTATGCGCAGCCCTACGTAGCCGGGAAGCCGGAAAGAGATGACTACAAGCAGCATGGCGGCAGCACCACTTCCGGAATGCACGCGCCTGCGCAGTTCGCTTGGTGGCATCGGTCTATTGCCATGAACTTTCAAGCAAGCTGAATGAAACTCATCGCAACCTTGCTCGGCATTTGCGCAGCAAGTCTTGGAACTCAGCGGTTCTCAGGTCTTTGGGTTATGATCGAGGGAGTCACAGCTACCTCTCACAGCCTTTTGTAGGCTAAGAAAAGCAGCACAAGATCTCCCAAAATCCTTCCACCCTTTCCGTTTTAGCAGAGTGAATGCTGGAGAGGAGGCAAATGGAGAGGAGGAAATTAGGGCCCAGAGCTGCCTATTAGTCCCGAGATGTTTCGGTGGCCCCCTCTGATGATTTCAAACCGTGACGTAACGACCGAGATTTGCCTCGCCGTGACATCATGAGCTACGATCCTGGCTACTTATCATGAGGTGTGAACGACAAGTTCGATGGTGTGAGTAAAGGCCCGTTCACACACTTGCGTTTGCTTAGGGCCAAATAGACGGATCTCACCAAGCGTTCCACGCGTGCGTGACGCCGCCATAACTGTAGTTCGTAGGAGGCAGACGCCAGTTCACGAGAGCTCATGCCGCCTCGTGCTCTGCTCGCGCAGACCTCCAGCAGGGTTGTCACGCGTGCAGAAAGACTACAGCTCCCACGATGCATATCGGCAGCGGTGGCGTACTCAAACTAGCTGGTGAGATCGGTCTATTCTTGCGATATCTTATGACGAGAGAACACACTGGCATGATAGCGCCATCTATAAGGTGACCCTGGAACTACATTTCACTAAAGCGAAGGTTTTGTGAAATTTGCGAGATCAAATGTACATACTATCTATGAGATATGGTCGTTTATAACAGTGTCAAAAGTTTCTTAAATAAAAAAAAAATTATTGATACCCGAAAAAATAAAAAATAAACAGTAACTGCAATTGTTTAACAGCTACTCGATAAATGGCGCCAGTATCTTCTCCCGTCCAGAGCCATCCACTGGGAGAGTCTGGCACTCTTTTGAATATGCCGACGGTCTCGCAACCACGATCAGAGATCCGGCACTCAAATATTTCGCCCACCATATTGTGTTACTACAACTCATGACCCGCTCTGGATTAGCCACCCCATGTCTGCAGTGATCTGTCATCTAGTCGCCCTGAAAAGGTCCCTTATTAACGTAACCGTCTCGGGCTCTTTCTACACACTCAATTGCCCACACTTCCTTATCTGCAACAATTATCTCTAAAAATATTACCGTCTTTGATTCCCATCCCTTGTCCAGAATATGACTGTTTCATATTCCCACCACCGCCACAATTCAATGCTGCAAAAAGCAATTGCTACGCAGAAACTGCAAACCCACGCTCTCGATTGCCAGACTCTTTTTGCTCAAGAAAGGAACATTTCCTTTGAAAACAGACGAAAAAAAGTTTCTTCGTAAGTTTTGTTATTGGAGATCAATAAAAAGTGAGTGGTTTTTGAATGCGGCACTTAATTACAGGCGTCAAGAGAATACCGAAGAACAAGAGATGTTTTCTTTATACTACTTGTTTTCTTTATGCTACTTGTAGCCGCAAATTTAAGTGAACTTGTTTGGAGTGGAGTGGTGAAACTAAAACGAATCTCCATCTTGCGTTGTTGCAAGATCAGTTTGTTTTAGCCACATTTAGTGGGTCACAAGCTCCACCCCTCCACCTAACTCTTTCAGTATAAACAGCTCTGCTCACGCCTAAAGAGATTTTAAGATGCTTTAAGGTACACGGTCGTCAGCAGTAGCAAGTGTCTGAACCAGCCTTGAAGTGCACGGTGGAAGCTTGGAGTCTCGCGACAACCGCAATGGGTGCTTGTTTGAGTTCAAAACAAAACAGCATATGAAGAGAACAACCTAACAGTGTTCCCTTTCATTCCTCAGTGTTTAGAGTTATCTGCTCGTAAATTACGATGACGTCATTGTAACGTTCCAGTGTACAAGCATCGATACACTGTCAGAAAAAATCCGGCGGTGCCACCGGGCATCTGTTGTCAAGAGTGCCTACGCACCGTCCTCTGTTCGTCACCATCCCGGACGCGGAAGCTGTGCTCGAAAACGGCGTACATGATGCGGCCGACTCCGAACGAGGGTTCAATCACTCCTGGCACCAGCTCGTCCACTGCAACAAAACAATAACCGACGAAACATTTGTATGTGCACAAGTTTCCCAAAACTAAGTTTGGCTGCCAACACAATGCACACCACCCAGCCCGATACGTTTGTTTTTCTGAGTTCACCCGATTTATAGGCGTCTTTCATCGCATAAATAGACAAAGACACGACGCATGGTAAAGCGAGCGAGCGCAATTGCCAGCGGGGAATGCGAGACAATGCTTCCAGTCTCGGAGCAGGCACCAGAAGACAACTTTCAAATCCGCATTCTTGAAACTACTGCGGGGCTTTGCTAATGCCGCGCAGTTGCCAAACTACAAATTTTGGTGTTAATATTTAAGCACTGTTCTCATCATTGGCGTGACCGCAACTTTTCATGGCGAGATATTGAGGAAGAGTTTAGGAAAGTGCCTCGACGGCACGGATGGCGACGCAATCTGCGGCAACGAAGGTGCCTCGGATGGTAGCTCCAGCGACTGCTGCAACGAGTGTGTTCAAAATAAAGGTATGGTTTCGTGTGATATCTGGACATTGCTTTGCACGGTTAGTGCAGACAATACGAAAAGTAGTTTTTCATTTCTTCCGAGGGTAGTAGGTTGGGGTTGTAGGTTATGTGAAGAGGCAGGTAATAAGCAATACAGGTAATAAAGAGGTTTCAGACCTGCACAATGCAAATAATTTGCCCAAGACATGGTGCATTTTCCAGCAGATAAGTCACGCACAGCCGAGTGCTGCTGGCCATATGCTCAAATGTATTTCGGTGAACCGCATACATACCCCAGAATATGAGCTAAACAGTTGACTGCTTGACAAAGCTAGCAATTATAATTTGCAATTTTTGTGAAATCTGCATTCTTGAAGACCTCAATTTCGAGATGCAGAAAAAAGTAAAACTAGATTTAGAATGTCACTTTCTAAAAACGCTACGTACCATGGACAGTCTTCTGGTAGCGCTTTACCGTGACCATGTCACCTGTGACTTCGACAGTGTTCTGCCCCACCAGCACCTCAGCTTTCCTGCAGAAAAAAAATGCACAAAAACTTATTCTGTACAAAAAGACATCGTCACGAGAGGGCAGCTTGAAAAAGTTCAAGTCTACGAACCAGATGTATCCCATACAAAACCAGAACAATATGTTGAGGGTAACAAAATCCGATGATATAGTCTTGAATGAGTGTCATGGCAAAACATTTGAGCATAGACGCAGACTACGGGGGGTGGAAGGTATGAAATATTTCAAAATGTCTGGCTGCTGTTCTCTTCCCCTCCCTCCAGGACCTACCCCTCATTTACTCCTTATGTGCACCGTGGCGGGTGCTGGGGCATATCGACAGGCGTCGCCCATGATTCAAAGCAACGAGAAAAAAAAAATGAACTGCAAACACTTCGCAAACGTTACTGACATTCTAAAAAAATCAATTAAGGTGAAAAAAAAAGAAAACACAGACAACAAAAAAAAATATATGGGAAAAGACTCTCCGATGGCAATCGTTGCGGCACTCTTGCCCAACAAAATGGACAGAGAAGGTGAAAAAGGGGCTCGGAAGCAAAGAGAAAGCAGAAGCAAGACAAAGGGACTGATGAAAAAACAAAAGTGGTCCCCTCACTCGCACTAACGACAGCAGCGAAATGCCTTTTTTGATGACAGCGGGGGCGAAGGCACTTTAAAACATGCCCCTGGCGGCTTGTAAGAAAAAAATAAAAATAATAAAAGCCAAACATAAAAGACAAAAGAACATCTATGTGTTGTCGGCAATGTGGTATTGTTCTATGGCGGCAACAGGCGGCAAAATTTGAAGGCGCCACAAAACGCAACCGAGAAGGCAAGGAAGCTTCAGCGACCAACGACGGTGACTCTGAGGTGCCTGGCTGCCGAGTTACCGAGTGCCAGCCTGGCTCCATGGTAGCTCTCTACTTAAGTGTTGCCTCAACTTTACGAGGGTTTCTTTGTTAGGGGATATTCAAACCAGCATCAAGCAAGCCCCGTGTCCTTTTTGTTTTGTTTAAACAATCCTTTTTTCTGTCTTCAATAGTCTCACTGTATTCGTCCCTTTCAACCTTGACATTCGAGACACGAAGGAGTGAGTTGGGATCTCGCATGTGAGTACCGCTCAAGCAATATCACGGACGAAACGGTATTGTAATTGCTACTTCAGTACTAGGATGGAGTTACGTGCATAGAGTAATGTTTGCCATCAAAACAGGCAAGCTAACAAAGCTAAATTAAGCATAACTGTATATCTATCTGGCTATTCCTGTATCTAAAGCTTGAGTTCCAGTTACCATGTTGCATTGCAAAATTATTTATTTTAAATAATTATGCGCTAGACAAAATTGCATTTGTAACTTGGTAACATGTCTTTAAATTTCTTGGCGTGTATGACGAAATGCTTGATTGCTTTTTATGGAGTCCACACCTTTTTACGGAGTCTGCGTCTTTCCAGTTTATTAAAGGTCCTACCATTATACCAACACAATTTCCCGTAAAGTGTGCCAATGTTTCACAGTGGTATAAAACATTTGACCCATCAAATCCAACCTTCCCCTCCTTCCTCTCCTCTCCTCTCCTCTCCCTATCCCCCCTCCCCCTCCCCCCCTGGGAAATTGAAAACTTTCTGCCTATGCATTTGAGTACTACTTGCTGACATGTCCTTTGCCATCTACTTTCTTCCTTCAATAATCGCCACCTCTCCATATGAGCATTAACACAAAAATTGAACTTCTGTGTCCGAGTTTGGTGCTCAAATGTGCAGCTCTTTTTTTTGTTATTTTCTGAAACTAAGCTACACTAAGAAAATTCATGACACAAAACAAACCATTCAAATACATCTTTGATGAAAGCTTCAGCTCCATATATGCAGGCGTCTTTCTGGCTCATTTTACGGGGTATTAGAATGTTACGTTACCCTTAGCACGTGTCACTGAACGAGCCAGGGTAACCTAGAGCAGCAAAAATATTAGTTATACTACATAGGTAACAAATTGCTCTGCCTGTTCAATAACCAATGAAAACCGGTTTCATGGAGTAGGTAGCACCACTGTCCTCAGATAGGCTACTTACAGGTTTGAAATCTTTGAAGAAGCTTTCTGCCCTAGTAAATGTTTTACCACTGGCAGCACTGATGCAAGTAAGAACAAACAATAGTAAAAAGCAAATATCTTTTATAGAAATAGTTTTGAAAAAGTTTGATAAATGTTGGCAGCGCACCTCAAGTGCTTCAATTTATCCCTAGAAAACACTTTTCCATAGCACGCCGAAAAGATTCCAGACCAGGTAGTCTAAGGACCATGGTAGCGCTAAGGAACCCAGTGTAGGCACCCCAGCATACCCCTGAGAGGCGAGCTGCTTCTCGAGCTCATCCAGTTGTTTGAGAGTGAGGGCTTCGAGGGCCTCTGCCACCGCCTTGGCTTCCTTCTTGAACTGCTTGCCCAGGGCCGGCTTGGATGCCACAGCCTCCACCACATCAACAGTCTTGTGATCAACAGGGTCAAGGAATCGTCTCACTAAGCCACAGCTCTCTGGTAGATCATACCCTACAATATTAGCACACTAAAAAGCCGTCTTTTCTTCTGGCGGTGACAAGGAAGCTCGGCTGCGCTTCAAATAGCATCCGTAACAACCAATGTGCCGAGAAAGTGAGGGAGAGGAGGAGACAAGAGCACGCAGGTACTTCAGAACGCCAAGCTCTGGTTGGAACGATTATTGGGTAGACCTAAAGCTAGCTTTTAAAGGGGCAATGACACCCCAAAGGTCGTATTTTTTTTTATTGCCTAAAACGATGCAAATTGCAGTCATAGACACGCAAAAAAAAATGCATCGGAAAAAAAAATTTTTTTCACACGCGCGCACACGCCTTTTTATTTTTGTCTGAGTCTCCCGCCTCCTCGCTTCTTTTGATTCATGACGTCAAGAATCATGAAATTTAGAAGCTTTGTAGGCGATATCTCTATAACATTTAATAACAACAATCCTAAAACATGTTTTTTAAAACGCAATTGCGAACGCACTACGGCCCTTCTTTTTGAAATACCAAAAATTGGGAGTTCGTTGTGGTGCGTGTTTCTAGATTTGTATCCTCCCACGGAAAACAGGCGACACCGCTCAAAACCGGTCCGCCGCCCAACGCCGGCGCTCGCTCCTTTCCTCCTCGCTTTGGGACGCCATGGCAACAGCAGGGAGTCATGAAAGAAAGTGGACTCTCAGGACTCCGCAATATTTGACGTCAATGCACCGGTGCGGATCGCGCGGGAACTCCGAATTCGGCATTTGGAAATTGTTTTTTTGCTTCACAAATACTGAATTCCCAAATTTAAAATTTTGAGGGTAATGTCCCGGCATCGTTTTCAATCGTTTCGGATAATAAAAAAAAATATGATTTTGATGCGTCAGTGCCCCTTTCATTGTCTCCACTAGACTCATCGAACGCATTAAAACACGAAATGCCGGCGACCGGCGTTTGGCTTTTGAACGCGTTTGACAAATGCGGTGGAGACAAGGGCTGCTAGCTTTAGGTCTACCCACTAATCATTCTAACCAGAGCTTGGCATTCTGACTTACCTGCTTGCTCTTGTCTCCTCCTCTCCCTCACCTTCTCGGTGCATTGGTTTACAAATATTCTAGAGCACGAGTATTTAAACGAATATCAGTCAAGGATTTTCTGGTCACCTAACTTCTGAGCTCATGTGAGCACTAAGTACACGACAAGGCATTTCGGCTCCGATTTTGGTCAGAATAAGAGTGAGAGCGTTCTCGGCCGCTGATTGGGTGTAGCGCCACAGCTTGCGTGTAATCAGCCAGTGAGAAATTTTTGAGCCGTTTGCGAGTTCGCAATTGGGCAATATTTTTTATGACAACGTCTCGCCAACATATAAATAGTGAGAAAAGTCTCGTGGCCTCTGGTGGGCTTGCATTTAACACTCCTTCATCCACCGGTTGATGTCAGCTGGTGTATGGCAGCAGAAAAACCCGAGATTTGCAAACGAAGCGCGGGTTGTAATTGGCTTCTAATGTGAAATAGCAGACAACCAAAGTTTCAACCCGCGTCCTATCTCACTTCGTCACAGTGCTCATTTGGTAGCGAACGATCTACTTCTTTTCCGGTCTGTTAGCAGATGACATACTGTCTTTTCTTCTTTAGTTTCCGTCGGCAAATGACGCTTCAAAACAGACTAGCCGTGTCCTTTGCTCACATTAGCCAACGAACCGTCCACGAATGCTATCTTCGCTCTCTCTGCAAGAAGCAAATTAGATCTCACTATTGCGGCGACCAAAATGAGCCTTTTGGTCACAAAATCTCGTAGGATTATAAGCTATAAACTGGAGCAAAACTAATTTTATGTGGCATTTTGGGAAGCTTCAAGAGGCTGCGTTGTTCCAATATTTAATATCCCATTTCACGTAACCTTTCTTTTCGCAGCGTTTTAAAAAGCTTACACGGCAGGTCACCCCAACGGAAGCCCAGCAGCCGAGAGACAGCAATAAAACGCCGCAAATTCGTTCGTACAAAGATAGGTGATCCAGTGATGTGATTGGCCTAAGCCATTTTGGAGCACCTTTTGGAGCAGCCGAAACAGTGTTTTGGAGCAGCAAAAGTGGCCTTTGGAGCAGCCGGAACAGTGTTTCGGAGCAGCAAAAGTGGCTTTTGGAGCAGATATGCTTAGAAAAATAAAAATATTTGTTTTAATTGATGGACAAACGAAGGGCGCTTTGTGGTGTGTTGTGACAGAACTCGCTGTTTGTGTTTTACTGCTGAGACATCCCACAAGTGTACAGTGTTATAGGAGTTGCCGAGCAATTCCGAAAAGAACGCTTGCCACCGATTTACTGGTTCCCGACATGCCAGGTTTTCGTCAAAAGTAAGCAAATGCAAAACAATGAATTGCAAGCGTCCTGGCTGGCGTCCCTGTCATGCAGTCATGTTCATATGCACGTGAGGGCAACTTCAGCAGGCTTGCAGTGGCCGTGCTTCGTTGCGCGAGCGGAGACAACGGCTGTTGAATAGAAACCGAAACAATGCAACTCTCCTCCGTCGCCAACTGGTTCCCAAAATAGTATGCAAAATGTAACTGTCCAGCATACAAAAAAAAAACAAAAAACAGTTGAGCGGCTTGTGCTTGGTAGGCCGCAGGCGATGTACAAGCTAAGCACACAGAAAAAAAGAACCTGAGCGCATCGATGCATGACACCGCGAACCAGGGTCAAAACGTTCCTGGAACGCTTTGTGCAACGACCAAACTCGAGACAAACAAGTGCGACGTGCGGGTTCACACATTGCCTTCTTTGCTTTAGCTCACTTCTCTTCACCAACTTTCTTTCGCGGCAGATTTTTCACATACCGGGCTCCCTCTCGAAAGAAAGTCCACCGAGAGAAACCGAGGTAATCAATATTTCGACACAGCAGTCCTTGATCTAAAGGGATTTTTGTAGTAGAGTATAATTTAAAGAAGGCCAGGAATGTCGATAAACAAGTTTAGAAAGCGCCATATCTACAGCGACGTGGGGACGGCAACACCCGACGTCGCGCGACCACGGTGACTGTGGTCGCACGAGCGCTTCAGTTCACAAAGTAACTCTCGCCGCCCAAAAAACGTGGTTTTGTTTCACAGCATGACGGCATGGCTGGCACCTGGCACACTGGCGTCGGAGCGTCCGCACATGCGCGCTTCTATCGTTGAAAAAATTTAAAAAAGACAAGAGACGAGATTTTCGAGACTACGAGGGCACGGGCAACGTTGGGCATGAGGGCGCGAAACGCGAGACGGCGGCAAGGAGGTTAGGACGACGGGAAAAAACATGCAAGACCGGATGGACGATTGATGCAGGGTACTTTGTGTGGGGCAGAGTTCCACGGGAGCCAGAGTTGCGCGTCTTGTTTTCCACGTGCCGCCCCGCCGCTATTCGCCTAGATCCGATCACGTGAGGAGTCGGATCAAGTGCCGTGCAGGAAAGTAGACGTTGCACGCGCCCCGCCGAATGTTCCCCTGCTTTTGAGCGCGCCGCGCGCCTCGAACGCGTGGCGCTGCTATTTGCCAAATTCAGTCACGTGAGACGCTGGATTAACATGCCATGCAAGAAAGACGGCGCTACGGGGATGAACGCGACTCTGGCTCCCGTAGGGAGCCTATACAGGAACTCTAGAGTCGGGCGGCCGCTTGCGCCACCTAGTTGACGCATGCGCAATTACGGTTCTCAGTTTAGTTTCGGTTTTGAAGGGCGACCGAAATTGCTCCTTTGGCGCAGGCTTGGCGCAAATTACCTACATTTTGGCAAAATGTAGCAGGATGTAGCGGGGTTAGCCCCTTGGCGCAGTTTGGCGCAATTGGCGCAGCAGTCACATCACTGGTGATCGTTCTGCAAGCATAGAAATAGGCCCAACATTTCATTCTATGGCTACTGGCAGCTTAATAAAATGTTGCTTGTCATCTTCAGCTGCCGTGCCCTGCGTTTCTTAGTGTCTGTGGCTACAGTACTGTAACACAAGTTGATGTGGTTACACAAACGTGTAAGATGCCCTCCTTTTCCCCAATGAGCGAGCAATCAAGGATATCGGCTGTGCCAGGGTCTTCTCTGCTACCAGGCGCACCCCAGTGGCCTTGGTGTGCTGCGTCAGGTCATAGCACGAACGGTCTGCGCAACCCACGCACTCCACCCAGCCCTGCGAACGTTGGGATCACGAGAGTACAGTTAGGCTCTAACGTTTTAAAAATTTGCATATTTCTCGTATAGGGCAAGCAGGATAAGAGTTAGGATCAGATACCTGTCATTGCCCTTCGCAACAATTTGCCTAAAACCTATGCGGTGGCAGCTACATCGTTGGAAAGTGTGGATGAGCATGAATTAATAAAATTCCACTATTTCAATTGCTGCCGGAAAAGGCAGGTCCATGAAGGCGAACTGATCCAAAAAATTCTTCAAAATGTGGCAGGTTACTGAGGGCTGATAAATGTGTGATATCTCTGCTGGGTATTGTTTTAAGTTCCTAATTTATGCAGGTTGATTAATGGTACCTGAGAAATTAATAAATCTTGTAATTCCCATATCTTGCCATGGAAGTCACACACTCATAGACCTTAGCCACCAAAATTGGTTGGCGTACAGCGGCTTGTGCATACGCGCAATGACCAACTGAAATACAAAATATAGCAAACATATTAAAAGTACTGTACACACCAATGTTTGTTTGCAAACGAGCTCCCTACCGCCCCCTATTGGCGGATCCCTGCAAGCTTCTGGTTTTCCTCTTCTTTTTCTTTGTCTCGCATCCTATTGTTATTTGTACTACTTTATACAATTTGCGCAGGTACTTCTCCAAAGAAAAGTCTTACCCGCACGCTGTACGTTGGTGAAGAAAAAATAAGTATACTAACAGAAATCTATTGGGGCACCTTATACTGTGGTGCCCTCATGGTATCAACTCCCACCTAATTCGGTGAATGCAGTGTAATGTGTACGGTGTACTAGGCCAACTGGTACGGGCCTCCAGCCTTTCTGGTACACCTCAACACTCCTGGGTCAAAATAAATATTAATTTTTCAAAGTTATTACACTTCAGTATAATGAAGCAATTTTCCGGTATACAGTCGAATCCTGCAACAATGAAGTTGACAAGACGTGCGAAAGAGTTTGCTATCACAGGAACTTTCTTGTCATGAAATCAGCATGAAACCGGCAAACAACAATGATTAATAATAATAATATTAATAATAACATTAATAAATGTCTTTATTTTGCCAACAGTGTACAGATGGAAGGTGAAAAGGGAAAAAAGCTGTAACACAGGTTGACTAGTCCCGAGCCACCCAAATAGCAGTTGAGATGCGGGCACCAAATTATTAACATATGATTAGGACATAAATGAAAACATGAAAATATCCTTTACACGAGAAAAAATTGATTAGCGTCATTATATAATGCCACTTCAGTTTGAACAGACCATCATTAGTAGACAAAACGTGGCAAAAAACAACTTCAACCCCCAAAAAGTAACACTTTACTTCTATTCGCTTTGCTTTGGTTTATGATGAGTATATCAACATTTAGCTTCTATTAGGTTTGGTTTGGAGTGCAAGCAGTTTGGACTGCTTGCGCTTTTTTGAAAAAGTGCGGCATGATGTAATTGTTTCAGTCGGTCACGCCGTTGTCATGGGCACAGACAAAACTTCTGGTAATTTGAGAAAAAAGTGCTCACCATATTGGATGTGAGAGTTGGAGTTTTGACTCCTGCGCAGCGTTGTCTTCATAATTGAAGAATCGCAATTGCAAACACTTCAAACGGTTTGTTCGTTTTTTGTCTCAATGAATGATCACATCTCTATCGGCATCAATGCTGACAAAGAAGCACTGAAATCGCCGACGATATCTGCATTCTTTTTCCCGCTTGTCACCTTGATGATAATACTCATTTTTCTCTTCAAGAAAAGCAAAACTTTTTTTTTTACATGGTGGCACCATACTGTCGCATTTCCCAGCATTTGCTGATGAGAACGATCCGTTTCTGTTGTGAACCGCACCAAATTGTTGAGAAAAATCGCGTGCCAGCTGGCACCGACTAAAATCACGTGCTGCATCATTGTCAGTGTCAACATGCCATCTTGTACGCACTTGACTTGACTTGGCTCGAGCTCAAACCTGATGAAAATCAGTCTTTGCGGAGAGTTTAGAAGCTTTGGAGCTCACGTCGTGGTTTGCACAACATCTGTGGTTTCTTTGACCGTTCGGCAACATCATGAGCCGCGATATCAAAGGGAAAAAATTATTTTATACGTTCATTAACTTGCTAATGAGACGACGGAGCTTATATCTGCTTTAGGAAAACTTCATCGAAGCAAAGCGGCGTTCTAAAAGTTGTTTGTCGTGGAGAGACTTTTTACACACACTTTTCCATGGACAACAAACAGGGAATGGATAAAAACATTGTCGTTGCAGAAATTCAGTTGAAGTGGAGTTCGCTCTAGCAAGGTCTAGCTGTAGCACTCTTTAAAGAGACCGCTATTTGTCGCAAAAAGTACAGATAAGTATGTCAGTTTTGTACCGCTTCTTGCAAAGGGCGGGCCACTCACGTAGGAAGTCTTGCACTCAGCGTCCCAGCAGTCACAGGCATAGTGAGCCATCTCGTTACCCATGTGTTGACGGAAGCGCAGACGTCCGGGGTCGACTCCGACTCGGAGCAGGAAGAGCTGGATCCTCGCCAGGAAGTACCCCAGGGTCTCATTGGCTACCAGGCCCTGCAACAACCACCAATTGTGTGTCAACAGAGGAAAGCTTGGCCATTCTTCTCTGCCCGGTGAAGACACTGAAGAGGCCATCACCATATTTGCCGGTTAGTCCATTGGCTCAACTGAGTCACTGGTGACCCACTGGCAAATATGTCACTGTTGACTCACCAGCTAATAAAGTAATTTTTTTGCTTGTTTGTTTAGACAGCAGGAAGTTAGCCAGCCCCAAAGGGCATCTGGTGTCTCCACTGTAGAGAAGGTTCGGTACGACCACTAGCCTGCGGTCTTTAATGTACACCAAGCAGCGTTACACAACCACACGCCAGTACGATGCTCGTTCGGGTAAAAACGGACGGTGGGGGGGTTACAGCCAGGATACCTCGATTCTGCAGCGCAAGCTTTCGCACCGCGTGTTCCGAACAATGTTTCTTGGATGCTTGTCATGTCATACAATACCATTTAAAGAAACTCAAAACACTGTACTATGGATCCCATCAGCTAATTTTTATGTATTTATAACACGGACTGTTTAGTCAATGATCGCATGTAAATGAGCACCATGACTCGTACGCATTCAATTAATTGATGCACGCATTAAACTACCACCATTCAGCTGTCTGTATACCTAGTGTGACTGGGCATCAACTGAGTACCAAATATTTTTAATTGCTATCTCTGTTTGCGGCAAAGCTAACATGGAGGGCTGGAGTCGAAATGTAGCCACAGCACAAAGCTTCTTGGTAGAACCTCGTAGACGCCTCCACGTGCGTTTATTGCTTCGGTGACAACCGTTGGAGAAGGTAACAAGGTCTACAAAGCGGACAAAGAGAGGAAATTCTCTCAGAGATAGAAAATGGTAATGCTTTCAGACGCCTCAATTTGATAAACTCGGCTAGCCGAAGGAAGTCAATCTGGTTTCTTGCGCCATATGACCTAAAAACCATTTCAGTTTCCCCGCTAAATTTAGCAAGGAAACTGACGTCACGTCACCCACAAAGTGAGTTTCTCCGCTTGATTTAGCTGGAAAATTGACATCACGTGAACTCAACACCAATTCAATTTCCCGCTAAATTTAACAGGAAAACTGAATTGCTGTTGAGGTCATGTGGCGTCAGTTCTACCGCTAAATTTAGCAGCGTTACGGCGACACCGCTATACACGGAAATGGGCGCATAAGAGATTTGCTTTAAAAAAGACTTTTGAGGATTTCGGAGGCCCTTAAAGTGCACCCTCTGCTATGACCAGAGGTGGACTTAGCATTTTGCCACCCTAAGCAGCCTTTAAGTGCACCCTCCCCCTCCCCACCACCCCCCCAATCCTTGCTGCCCATTGTCAGTGTGCATGGGGAGCGGGAGATGGGGGGAAGGGGGGGGGGGGGGGGAGGGGGCAGGGAAGTAGTAGCTAAGTTTGAAATTAGAATTTTCAAAATTAGCTAGAACTACAGCAAGAATTCTTAAAGTGGCTAAGTTCCCAGAGCTAGATTTACAAAAAGAGACAATTAAACTGGGGGTGGCCACAAAATGGCCGCCCCCCAAATTCTGCCGACCTAGGCACCTGCCTATCGGTAAGTCCCGCCCTGGGTATAACGTTTGCCAGCACTTTATGCAGCTGATAAGGAGAAGGGCAGAGAGGCCCCCGCTTGGGCGTCGCAAGACGGCGCCGGCACCTTTGCGACGGCCTCCCCGATGGTGATGCGCTTTGCGGGCTGCCCGTCCATCTGGTTGCAGGCAGAGTAGAGCACCATCTCCAGGTCCTTGACCGACGCAAACTTCGGGTGCGACTTGTCGTTGGGGTCCACAAAGTGCTCAATCTCAGCCATCGTGAACTCCCTGGCAAACAAGGACGAGATAAGAGTCTCTCGCACTCTTCGTACCAACAACCACGGTCAGAACGAGTCTTAAGCCAGTGTGTTTAGGGTTGTATACTGCTCGTGCATCGAGAGTGGTTCCAAAGCGACAATGAATTACGTCGTGGGAGCCGGCATGTCGTGCCGTCGAATTTCACAATCCCGTCCGTTGGGATTGTCAAATTGCGTCCCTGTCATCGCAGCGTCCTAACATTTGGCTACTTCCGTGAATTGTTGAGTTCTAGAGTGTACCACGGCAGAACGGGCGTCTGCAGCATCCTCCCCCGGTGCCTTGCCATCGCCGAGACTGCGGCAAGCAACGGCACGACGCGACTTTTGATGTCGTCGGGTACGAGCTGAGAAACCGTAAATGAGGATGCAGTAAACACGCCAGTCAGAGATGCATCCTAGGCACACTAGTTTGAGTAAGTAATGGGGCTTAAGTAAGAGAGACGGTATACAGTAAAACCTTGTTAATTCAACCCCCACTCATTCAGAAAATTTGAACTGCCGATCCGGTCCTGTCAAACGTGTGTAGTAGTCAATGGCACCAAACGATCATTGATTCGGAGGGAACGTGGCGCGCTATGGTAAATTTGGACGAATTCGGCAAGTGGCGCAAGCTACCGTCCATTCCAAAGGGCATGACCGCTACCCATCCGAGGCGCACACGTGGTTTTTCCGGTTTTCGCATGGTTCTTCGCTCTTCCGGTTCTCCGTGTTTCGCACCAGTTTTGCTCTGGATTGCCGTGCGTCAACGCGCAACTCTCCTGGCATAGAAGCGGCAGAAGCATAGCTGCAACAAAAAAACCGTAGCACAGATGACTGACGACCGGAGCGGCAAAATCGCGACACGCAATGCTATTGTTCCCGAGCGCGCCGATAGCAAGAGTGACAGTCACGTTTCCTGCCTCAACACGGGGTGGCCGGCAGAAAGCTGCCCATCCTAAAGCCCACCCCCCATTTTAACAGCTATCTTATCCCTCGATTTTTCACCGGCCACCCCCGCGTTGAAACATGCGACGTGACTGGGACTCTCGCTATCGATACGCTCAAGAAAAATAGTGCCGGGTGTCGCGATTTTGCCGCTCCAGTCATCAGTCAGTTGTGCTACTCGTCCTCCGTTGCAGCTGTACCAGGCCAAGGATTTAGCAACGAAAGTGGAAATACTGAGGACCTTGAAGGACGGCGTCTCTCGACAAGTGATGGAAAGTTACGACGTCAAGAGAAGCACTTTGGCTACGTGCGTGAAAATTGATGCCGAGATCCTACAGGTTTTCGACAGCGAAAAGTTCAACGCGAAAAGGAAGCGGCTGTGGAAGGTGGTGCACTTGAAACTAGAAGAGGCCTTGCAGTGGTAAGTCGTCAACGCACAGGATGCGTTGCACAGACAGTGCGAGTGCGGTGGAGCACTCGACCGTGCGAAGAAAAGTTGCCGTCTCCGCCCAAATGTCGTCCAGAAAGCAGGCGGCAATAACAGATTTCTTCTCAAAATAAAGGTATGTCACAGGGACATATCTTCGAGCTGTTTTCTTTGTCCTTTCGTTATTTCGACTTTCGGATAATTCGGACATTTTTGCCGGTCCCATGAGATCCGAATTAACGAGGTTTTTCTGTATAGCTTTGAGGTGTATTGGCAAAGGAAGTTTACAAACACCCTGCAGCACTTTCCTGTTTTGGCAAGGTTCTTCAGTCACATTGAGTTATTTTGTCCATTGCATACATGGAACTGAAAGCTATTAGTAACATATTAATTGGGATAAAAAACTCAACCAGAGTAATGCACGCAACTGCAAAAGAAGGCAGGCAGTGGTGATAAGATGACATTTTATAAAAACTAAAAGTTTACAACATGTTTTGGAAAGCAGTAACAACTGAAAGAAGTATGTATGCAAAGCAGTCATCACCCGGGACAAAAGGTAACTGCTTCTTTTAATTTTCAAGTCTTGCAAATCAGTAGGTAGCCTTGGTGCTTCAAGTTGAACGGTTAACCAATATCCCATTTTTGTTGCCGAGGTGAACGGCTAACCAATTTCCCATTTTTGTTACCAGGGTGTGTTAATCAGCTAAATGCAAAATGTCAGTGGTCTTTAAAGATTAAAAAGATAGGCACTGGGGTATATGCTGGTCCACAATAAAGGCATTCAAAGAACTACTATATAGGGGCTATTCACTGGATGTCATATTTAAGTGCATGCTCAGAACAAGATCACATTATAGGCTTTTAAGACCGGCGATCTTGATGGTATGGAATGCACATTGCAAAAAAAACTTCGGAAGCTCGGCATCAGCACACACTCAGCTGTCGTGCACACAGCTGTGGTTGCCAGTGAATACTTCCAACAGTATCAGACATCTGTACACTCAACCTCCAACCTTCTCAGCTCTATTTACGTGAATAAATTCAGCTTACCTGACTCTGATAAGTCCCGACCGAGGAGAGATTTCGTTGCGGAAGGCATTGCCGATCTGAGCTGCTGCAAATGGCAGTCGTCCCTGGTTGAACTCAAGCAGACGCTTGAAGTTGACAAAGATTCCCTGCGCGGTCTCCGGGCGCAGGTACCTGCATCAGCAGTCTTGCTGTTACAATCGCTTCTAAAACCTCAACTGCATATCACTTCTGAACATAAAATTCTCAAATATAACGCAGCAGGTTCTGTCTTAGTCAAAAACAGATGCAGATTTGTTCTGAATAAGCATAAGTGGTCACCTTGTAAACTTTCTAGTTGCTATTCCAAACTCAAAACAATGCGGCCGTATTCACAAGATGTGATTAGGGCCTATTTAAAGGAGCTGTGCAACAATTTTTGTACTGTGCACAAATACCGCTTAAAACGGATCCCTAACGTTAATGACCTATGAAACACGCGTTCGTTTTTCACCCCACGCAATAGAAGTCCCAGAAAAAAATTTAAGAAAAACGAGCAGCGTTCACCCCCTCAACTCGCAGCCAGAACAAGCGGCCACGTGATCTGGAGCCGATTATATGCCGCCAGTGTTGATCATAGCCACGCGCTGGGGTTGGCAAAGGGCAGGACACGCGCTGAGTTCCAGACATTGTTATGGCTCGGCTGTTGTCGTCGTTGCAGCGATTGGACACGGGTCACAACCCGAATGCTTCTCGAGCTAGCAATTGTCACGAGCCCAAGTCGAGTGCCCACGCAATGCTCGGGTCCAATCTATGAACCGCATTCAAATATCGTCACTTGGGTGTACTGCGATCCCCGAGTTACGTCATCAAATTTTGCAAAGGAGAGATTGAATGAAAATGATCGCTTTTGTCCTTGAAATTACACCGCGACAAAGGAGTTTCTTGGCCAATGGCGTTGCGTGTGAGTATCCTTGAGTCCCAGGTGTGCCAGTAAGCTCGTGTAGAGAGAAAAACATCCCAATTGAATATCGTTGCACAGCTCCTTTAAAACCGCTGACTAACCATGTCATCCATTAAAATGATCGCGTGGTGAGTGGTAATCGCAGCTAAGTAAAAACCCAGTATTCACCGACCATGTTTAAGGCTCAGTCGCCCCAAGCATCTTAGAAGGCAACTAAAAAATTTTAGTCACGGGGTACAGCTAGTTTAGCCGTTGTTTAGCAGGTGACTAGATGCTCAGCAGCATGGCAAACTCCTATCAACTCTGACCGCCGGTGCTAACGAAGTATTTACTTTCTTGCAATGCTGGGGGACAAATCTAGAAGGAATCGGAGTAGCAAATATTGTGGAAATAGACATGTTCAGAGGTCAGAAATACTGCTAAAGCAATCTCAGCAGGAAGCCAGACGACAAGGAGGCGCGCATTTACGGGCGCTTCCCTATTTGTTTATGTCGCTGGCAATGTGGCTTCTGTGTTTCCTCCTTTGCGTTTTATTTTCTTCGTTAAACTCTGACTTGGACAATCAGTCTCTCAATATAACGTTTTATTTTTTCCTAATAAATATTTAAATATTAGTATTTACGCAATAAAATCCCCATTTATGCAGAGTGTTTATAGGGCCCGTGAAACAAATTTTGGGCTGGGATAAATCAATTTAGATTGGAAATTTACTAATAGCACATCGTTTAGTGGGCCAAAAGAAAAAAGGTAGAAAGTCAAAAGCCTGACTTTCAGTACGAAAATATGAAAACACAGTGGACTATTTCATACCTCCTTCCCTTTGTAAGCTCTCTGCCTTTTCACTGCGGTCCCCAAAGCATGTCACCGTGCTTTGGGGTTCTCAACACACGTCACACGACACCAGACCTCACTTATTCCCTTCACCCCTAAGCTGACATTGTGGTGGAAGATACGCGCTTGCCGGACCAATCAGCCGCCTCCCTTTCATCACCTGACCTCATTCTCTGCGCGTGGGTATGCGCGAGAAAGCGTGATCACGTGGCAAAAGCGTGGCTGGCCCAACGAGCACGTAGCTTTCACAGCATTGTCAGCTTCAGAGTGAGCAGGGTGGAAAAAGCAACTTTTGTCTGAATTTTGAGCGACGGGCTAATCTTCAGGGGGAGAATGGCTTTGTCCGCGTACACAAACGAGAGTCCAAGCAAGAAAGGACTCCCCTCTTTCAGTCTTCTTGAATTGTTTGGTTCAATGCGCGATTTATGAGTTGAGGAGGAAAGGTAAACAGAAAAAAGTTAGAAAAGCGTTCCATGACCCCTTAAAAACGCGCATGCGTGATTTGTCTTTTTTTAACACTTACGCTTTTTACTCCTCACTATACTCTGTTTCATACTTAATCAGGATGTCTAGCAAATTAATGTTTTGAAATTCCCCGACTTTTCCAGGTTTTTCCCTGACGATTTCAGGTGAAATTCCCTGACCACTGTAGAGGTGGTTAAATATGTAAGACCATTACAACACAAGGCATTGAGCATTGAACACTGTACGGATTGTTTTGCACGGGCTTGATCCAACTTGCATATTCCGAAATATTCGGGTTTATCCAGTCCGGTTTAATAAACACTTTCTTGCCGCCGATATCATCAGTAAAGAGGCCAGTTCCGGAAACACAATGAAAACACGACACTCAACCACACACGTCAGTAATTGAATTGCAGCATGGTGCATGGCCATGGCCGCCAGATGCACACTTTCGGATACTTTTGGCTTAATGCTTGGATTGGATTGGGGTCTGCAGCTTTCCCATTTGTTAAATCTAGTAGCTCTAACTGGATTGAGCCTAGTGTCGTCCCCTCAACCCAAAACAATCCAAGGCTTGGACCAGATTTTTTGGCTGTTCCCTTTGCATCGGCTAGCACACTCTGCATCGGGTGAGCAGAGTCCGCGCTCCACTCTAAGCAGAATTTATTGTCTATCTTTCTGTCCCCAAGTCCTCAAGTCTTTGCTCAGGGCATTCGATGGCGTTTCCGGCTCATTTTCCCTCACTGAACTCGCTTTTTGATAATATCCCTGACAATTTCCTGATTTTTCCCGATGATTAAAATTTCTCTGACAATTCCTGGTTTTCCTGGTCGCTAGACACCCTGCTTAGTATACAATGTTGTCAAAGCTGCTGGCACAAACAATGGGCTTGATCTCGTTCATCATTTGCACGCATTCTTGCACAAGCAAAACCATAGATGAAGCTACGCGCTTGCGTCAGTAGCTTTGGCAGCGTTGTATATTAAGCATGAAACAGAGTATAGATAGTAACTCGCTCACTTCGCGCTCGTGAAAACAGAATCTAGTCGCTCCTTAGTTGCTGGTTACTATTCACTTCGCTCGTGACTATACTTGGACGCGCTACTGCTAACTTTAAAACAGCACTAGTTAGTCACAACTGGTGAATACGTACGGCTGAACTTTTGGCCTTTTATTGTAGCGACTAAAGCAAATTCTATGAATCATCTGATACAATCAAGTGTCAGGAGTATGTCACGTGACATTGCAATCACAGAGCATAAGGTTTAATTCAAATCAAGTACACAAATTTCCACCATATGACTGGCACGGACGGCTAGCAGTATTTACCGCAGCCAACCGGAAGGCAAGGCATAAAACAGTTCCGTTCACCGTATGCACTCACCCCTTCACGAGCCCTGAGGGTCCGATGAAGGTGGAGAACATGAGGTTGAACTCAATGGCATCACTGAGCTCATTTCCAGAGGTTGGAGACTTCATGGCAAAACGCCTAAGCACCGCCGTCATCTCGTCTTTGTTCATGCCGTCCAGCTGGAAATGGGTGCCAGAAATGGTGGCGTCGAGGCGAGTTTCACAGACTACGAAAACACAACGAAACTATAGCTGAACCACAGTGCAACCCACTTACAACAATACCACATATAACAATGTGCCACATGTAACAATCAGTTTCTAGACTGATAATGACCAGTTTCTAGTCCAGATACAACAATTAGTTATAATGATTGAAATTTCGGGTTTTCTCAATGTCATTATAAGTGGTTGCACTGTATTCTACGAGTGAGTGGAAAGAATTCACTGGTGGCTGTACATTGATCAGATTTCCAATTTCTTTCAATCATCTTAATCTAATTGCTCGCATTATAAAGCAAAGGCACTAACTTCAGCTAAAAGCATTACTGGCTCATCGAGCTGCAATACCTCTAAATAAACAAATATTATGTGGAGAGTATGCAACAGCCTATCTTGGTGATCTTGCAGTTTCTCTAATAAAGGTCACCTTCTTTAAACAACAACAAAAAAAAAAAATCAAAAAGCGATTTTTTTTATTTTTATTGCCGAGTCACGCATCGGTGATTGTTTCGGAGCTGGGAGTGTAACTCCAGAAAACAACAGCGGCATAAGCTTTCAGAGTGAGCCGGTAGATGGCGCATGCAGTCTCTCCACGCCTCAAACTTAATGCTGCCACGGCATTTTGCGTTTCTGACATTCCCTGCGGCGGCCAATTGAACTATCTGAAGAATGTTTGGGTTCCAAGTTTTATCCCATCCTGAGAAGGCAACCTGAACGTTTTGGTGACAAATTTAACAGTAAGTAGCCAACACAAGCTCAATGTTTGGGAACCCAGTGGCAGCAATACGCTTGGGGAGCACTGTACAATGGTCGCCTAGTTGGTGCCATTATGAGTCATGTGGTCGCGCGGCGCAACATTTCGGTGTCACGTTGTGATCTCAATTGACGTCACATTGTGGCATCACGTGATTTTGCATCATGTGACACTGCGACTTTATGGTGTCACAACATGATGTCTTGTAACATCACATGACTTCACTGATGCCACGTGATATCACACGGCCGGACATCATGTGATTATCGTTTTGCCGATGATGTGACCACCGTCACACTGATGACACCATCATCGTCCACTCTTTTGAAAAGCAGTACCTTGCCCGCCAAATTTGACACTTCCCATAAACCACTCCCATAATGGCAAATTCTGAAGGACGTAGGTATGCTAAATTTGGTGGTCGTGCAACGGTTTTTTGTAACTCTTTTCTAAGATCCCATTCATCTCGAGCCATCGTTAAGACATTGTTAAAATGTCACCTAAAGAGAGAAAAGGAAAACTATAAATTCCCACCTTGACCACAATGTCTTCGTACTCTGCCTTCTGCTCTGCTGTGGTCTTCTTGTCGGCGCTTAGTTTCTCCAAATGGGCTGGTAATGAAAGGCAGGGGGTTCAATAACTTTTTGTCTTTTCCAAGATTAGCACCACAAAATATCAGACAGAAGTTGCACACCCACACATTTCAAAATGAGTTTGCTTTCCAGACCACAACATAACGTAAGCATCACAGGCTGTTCTATGTTAAAGACTGATGTAAAACCAGAAAGGGGAAAATTTTTTCTTCTTTCAAGTGAAGTCAGCTGTTAGATTCCAGAGTCACGACATTTGAGTGAGGAGGAGGGACAAGCATGAGAAGGGAGGGCAAAACTGGGAAAGAGAGCATGAGAAAAAAGGAAGAGGAGATTGGGAAGAGATTTTCAGCCAGGATGATAAACAGAGTCTGTCCATGTCATCTCTCAGCCCCAGATTTGAATAGATGACTGGTAACATGCATATCGTCTGATCCATCCTTTAACCTCCATCGCTTCAAGATGTTTTAGTATTTTGATCCTCCCAATCACTATTTTATGTCTCTTTGTACACATTAAGAGGTACAGTCATAGGCATAGACTACAAGGGGGGGCATCGGGGCTCGTTCCCCCTCCAGCAAAATCTGTGGGGGGGGCGGAGCCCCCCCCCCGGTCCCGGGCCATGATCCTTACCGAGACGCTGTTTGCGTGACAAGTAAGGAGGTTCTAGTAGCGGCATGTAAACAAAATAACGCCCACGTTGGCTTTATTGACAAAGTACATGGGAAATCGAATCCCAGCGTGCTTTCGTTAGCTTCAATCTCCAGTTCTGGCGAGAAGGAAATGTGCAGACACCCCCCCCCCCGGGAAAAACTCAGCCTGCTTGCCCCCCCTCCCCGGGAAAATGGAAAGTCTATACCGCCGGGTACAGTCATTGCCAATCACAAAAGAACCCAGCAAATAATTTGGCAGAGATAATGTTTGAAAGCAACAAAACAGCCTGCATTAAGGCATTAAGCATGATGCCGATGTGCTCAAGATTCCAGTGCATAATGTGTTTTTGTGCACTAGCATTATGACCACCGATCTAGTTGCTCGTCTACTTCCGTATATCACGATTGTCTCCCTGTAGGTCCCTCGAGAAAGCAAAAGTCAAGGGGCCGTTCATAAATAAATAAAAAAAAGAGGGGAGCCATTTTCAAGTAAATGCGGTACCATTGCCAGGATGCTCAGTTCAGCACCATATTTTGCACTGTGACGTGAAGTGGCAGCACCCACCTTTGATGAGATGATCAAGCCTGAAGCACTCTCCGCTCTTCATGTCCTTCACCATGAGGTCTGCAAAGCGCTCCACGTGTCCCGAAGCCCTAAAGCATAGTTAGATGTAGTATGTTCCCCCACAAAGCCAGTGCTATTTTGTTTTGCCCAATGACAATATGTGCAAGACTGTAACAGTTTCTCTATGCAGGGCAGTCACCAAACCAAAGTTTTTGTGATTCAATGTTCTGGATGGAAACAAGGCTTCCACATCAGGAAGGCAATTGTGTACTATTGAAAAAGCACCGCAAAGCGAGGAAATAGTTGATAGCGATGGTCGGGGTGGCACGACTATAGTTCTCTAATCCTTAGACACAACAATACTACCTAAAGGCAACAATGACAGTTTGTACTACACCTACTACTAGAGGTGTTTAGGATTGACCTGTGTGTACAGATGTGAAAAAAAGCAAAGCCTCAGACAAGACAAGATGCCACACAACAGGGTCAGCTCTCTCACAATAATGGTAAAACTAGCCCCCCATGGCAAGAAACAAACAAAAAACATCCTGTTCGTCTGCAGACAACTTTTCACCTTTAGACAATCTCTAACATATGTTTTAGCTGCCAAGGTTACAAAGAAACACATGCCAACTTTTTAAGCATTCTCTTCTTTCAAGGGGGCTCACTTGAGGACGGGCTCTGGGGTGAGCACGGTGCAGTCCACCTCGAGCATCTGCTCCTCGAGCACAAAGTGGCTCCTCCACAGGCTCAGCAGCTGGGTCTTCATGGCACAGCCCATCGGGCCAAAGTCAAACTGGCCTGCCACCCCTGCATCACAAAACATTCATCCATGTGTTCACCATAAAAAATAAAAAATAAATAAAGAGAACAAAGACTTTGGGATTAAGGGCACTCACTCAGTCTCAAGTCTAAAAATCTTGTTTTTCCCCCACTATAAATAAGTGGTCAACAGCTTGCTCATTTTCTTAGAGGCTGACGCGCAGCTTCTACATTCGCCGTTTCACCTTTTTAGTGGTTGCAGGTCAGTAAGTCGGATCACCAGTCCCCGAAAGGATGAGAATGACAAGGAGTTCCTTAAAGGGGCCCTCCAGAGCGTTCTCCGATGGTCTATTTATGGCGGTAACTCAACCTACAGGCCCTAAGGGTCCTAAAAATCATAAAATTATAGTAGTGCACGGCAGATTTCTCTATTAAAATTGCTATCAAAATCCCTGGCACGCCCCCTTTTCTGAGATGACCCCGGAAAATGGGAAGGGCATTTCTTTACGCGTCAGCCAATAGCAAGCGAAAGACTCCAGCGTCACTGCGCGTCCCCAAAGCGGCCGACCGCCGACCCGCGGAGGAATCTCTCCGGACTTTGTACTTGGCAGTCGTCGTTCGTCGCACCGCACCGTCGCGCTGCTACTGCAATACGCAGTCGCATTCCACAGATGACAAGGAAAAGTTTGACTCGTTGACGTGGAAGGATTGCAAAGCTGGCTTCGGAGTCGGGATCCACGAAAAGAAGGAACACGTGTCCCGCAAACGCACTTCTGCAGACGCCCCGGGAGGCAGACGAGCCGACGCGCCGACGCATCACCCCTTAGCAACAAGCTTGCGGGGAGAAAACATAGTTCGCTGGTTTTAGAGCGATAATTGCGGACTATGTTTCCCGCACCACAATCAGTTTACGTTTTTCTCAAACTCTAATTTACAACTAGCTTAAAAAGTGTTGCAATAATAATGTTCGCATTCACCGCGAGATGCAGCATTTCCGTTGGTCAAGTTTTAGCGATGGGCAGGGAATGGGGGATTTTCTTTCAAGAGAAAATAGTCCCGATATATTTCTTCTGCCATCTGCTTAATAATAAGTTCTGTAATCTAAAACTTTGTATACATATTAACTTGCACCTACTACGCAATATAACGACATAAACAGACGATCGCAGAAAGCTCCGGAGGGCCCCTTTAAGTGGGCTCCTCTCCCGCACAAACTTATTACCTTCGATAGAACTTTGGCATCCTGTGAGCCTCGAGTTTGTAAGCACGGCCAAAGTAGAGTGGAAGGCAGGCAACGAGTGAAGGCTGGAAGCCAGGCATTCGGAAGAGATGCCTTGCCCTTCTCACCCTGCCAGTGACTATAGAAACTGGCATCCCCATGACATTGGTTTTGTGTCCATTACAAAGCAACTTGTTATCCGAAATCTGTGCAGAAGGGGCTTTTCTCCTCAACTGGTGAACAAAAAAAAAGAGAAAAAAAGATTTTCCAGCCCCCCCCCCCTTTTTTTTTTTTTTTTTTTAAGATCAATTAATTTTTTTGTACTTGAAGGGAACTCATCCAGACACCCACAGAATAGCAAGAAAACTAGAGCAGATAGAAACCTGCTGAATCAAGCGCTATAACATCAGCAATTCATCATGCACCGTAGGTGCTCCTGGCAAAAACTGCTCAAACAGGTTACAAAATAACAAGCTAAATTTGCCATCAGAGATCTTTAAACAGTATTATGTAGAAGGACAGTCTACATAAAAACAACTTCCAGGGAGCTTACACACTACTGAAATGTGTCTCTTAAAATGAGTTTCCCGGCAAGAAGATGGCAATGGATCATGAAGAATGCCCACTGAACCGTTCTTTCACTAACACTAATTTCACACCAACATGGCAAGAAACAAAACTGAGGCAAAGGGAGTTTGATTTTCAAACCTATAACAGAATGAATCATCACGGCCACCCGAAATAACTGAAATATGTATGAATAGGGAGCAAACTACAGAATTAGTGGCTCTGAAAGAAAATTTGGTGTCTGCACTGTAAAAAAAATAAACATGACATAGAGCCATAATTATCACATTCCTAAAAACTGGCAAGGATGTGGTAATGAAGGGAGAATAAAGAACAGTACATGATGCAGAGTGCCATTAAAAACTACAGAATACACAGAAAGAACAAAACATGTCAGGGACAAATGCAGACACACACAGTTCTTTCACTTGAAAGTTCTGTGTGTGTCTGTGCTCGTCCTTTACGTTTTATTCTTTCTGTGTATTCTCCGGAGTAAAGAAACAGGCACATTTGAGACCGCAAAATGTAATGACTCCAACACCAGAAAAAAAATAATAATAAATCAACAGGCTTCCTTGACAAAACCCAACCCGCCTTTGCCTGATGTTAACGCAAGTAAGTGATCGGCAGTTTTTTAGAGCGCAGCTCTTAGGGGCCCGTTTCCAGCCTGAGCGGCGTCGGCGTAACCGGGGGGGGTCACCTGACCCCCCCCCCCCCCCCACCCCCCCCCCCCCCCGAAATCACGTGACCCCTTCCCCCCCCCAAGGTCACCTGCCCCCTCCCAGGTCACGTGACACCCCCCCCCCCCCCCCCTTGAGGTCACGTGACCCCCTCCCCCGAGATCACGTGACCCCGCCGGGGACACGTGACTACCCGCACGTGACGTGACCCCCCTCAGTACCCTTCCTACTCCTCCTCAAGAGCTGCGCTCCAATTCGGCGTTACAGGGATTTGTAAACGGCTTTTTTCTATTTCTATTTTCTGTTTACAATTGAGGGGCTCTCATCAAAACTACTGGCATCTAGGAAAGTGCTTAATTGGGACACTAACCTGAGTGGGAAATTTTGTTGCCTGTTGATACTGTTTAGAAATAAAATGTGAAGAAGGATTGACGCTGTGTTTCTGCTAACAGTGTTGCACAGTGTATGTGTCCGTCCATTTTCGCTTTTTCAAGTGTCGGTGTGTCTGGTGCCTGGTACTAAGGAGTGGGCTTGTAATGTACTGTCGGGGACAAAAGTCTCCAGGACACGCGAGCTGCGGCTGAAACGCATTGCTCTGCCATCTGCCGGCGGGTCGCCTGGTTTCGAGATCACACAAAAGCGCATGCGCGTCCTACTCTGTCTGCAAACATGTGTGTTTTCCCGCCTTTCTAAGGCACAGCGCCTAACTCGGAATCGGGCGCGTGGTACCGCCTCGGAGATAGCGCTGGCGGCCTACGAGCGTCTGCTACACATTCCGAAACACGAGATACCACCTGGGGGATTGCGCCGCATTTCGCTGTGTCAGCGCACCTTGCTTTAAAACCAGTTGAGTTTATCGCTCAGTTGAGTTGCCGTGACTTCTTGCTTTATAGGTGCCATGTCAGTAAGCGCTATTTCCGAGGCGGTACCCCGCGCCCGATTCCGAGTTAGGCGCCGCGCCGCAGAAGAGCGGGAAAGCGCACATGTTGGCACGCACAGTAGAACGCGCATGCGCTTTTCTGTGATCTCGAAACCAGGCGACCCACCGGCAGATGGCAGAGCAATGCGTTTCAGTCGCAGCTCGCGTGTCCTGGAGACTTTTGTCCTTGACTGTACAAGAGACGAAAGTGTGAGCTAACCCAAAGAAGCGCTAGTCAGAATGGTAAACATTTTGCATGAGTGCCTGACGTGCACTAAGCCATTGGGAGCAAGGTTAGAACAAGCTAGATCATGATTTAATGTATAGGAGCGTGTTGGAAACATCTGCACTTCTACGGTCAACTTTGGTATCACTGCATGTTGGCCAAGTAGTTAGAGTGACACGGCATCTTGAAAACCCATATGCCCTTTCTCGTTTTACTTTGGTTTTGCCTTGTCACCAGTAACTCTAACTACCAGCCTAACACGGGAGTAATGTCAGAAGTTGACCACGGAGATGAATTATCCACGCGAGCACCTGTGCGTGATGTCGTGGAGGTCTGTGTTAACCTCGCTCCATTACTTGGCACATCAGGGGCATCCTACATGAGATTTTTGCCAATCTGTCCCACGCTATGCTGCATTTCCTTCCTAGCAAAATGCAGCTAAATGCTGTCACCAAGGAGAGGGTCAAAGGTCTCCACATGCCTAGATTTTTGGAAGACTGTAGTCAGTGACAGGCTAAGCATTCAGCAGAAGCTCCGCCACCAGCACACGCTCGTCTCCTATTGCCGGGTTTTGTTGTGTGCGCACCGAAAAGCTATTGAAAGTAGAAAGCTTAAGGTGGAAGTGGAGCACCTACTGAATCCTTAACCTACTACTACGGAGGCTGAAACAGAAGGCCGTCCGTCTTCAAGGATGAAGAAAATGGCACACTCAAAAGAACCAGTACCTCCATAAATAGAGAAAGACTGGTCGTAGAAGAACCGCCGCCGGAGAAGGTCCTCCATGCGCAGACGGTCAAAGCCAGCTTCAACTGGTGCGAGTTGTAGTTCCTGGATGAAATAAACATGTTCCTTCAAGTCAGGCTCATGTTCTTAAGGTTGAATGTGAAAGGCAAAAACAGTGGTGCCCCATACTATCAGGATTGTCTAACCACCGTCATAAGAAAAAGCTGCGTGCACAAGCTTAGTAGACGGCACGGAAGCAAGAAGCAGGGTGCTAGTTGTATCGTCCAGTCTTGAGCATCCACCAAGCTCTGCAGTGGTTAGATTCATGAGAGTCACAATAGTGCTCCAGGTGAGTAAGTGGACAATGTACTATTTAGCCTAAAAAACCGTGAGAAACTTGACGTAAGGGTGAACTCCAGGTTTTCCCTTCAGCAACCCGAGTTTTGTAAGGAATTAGTCCAGCATCTGCGGGTGCTTTGTGTTAACTTCAACAGCAAGATCTAAAGTAGGAACGGTATAACTTGGTAACAGTTTAATGACTAATTTGGGATGATATTGCAAGGATCATTCCAAGAGAGAATTTTTCATTTTTCAAGGGTTGAGATAAGCCTTCACAGAAAAGAACAAAACACATCATTGGGAAAGGTTGAAGACCTGCATTCGAAGGTCCGAGTATGCCAGCCACTGAGACCCAGTTACCACTGGCTCATCTGGTAAAAATACTGCGGCATCAACAGAGTTCTAAGAGGTTAAGAAGCAGGGAACGGGGGTGGGGCAACACGAAATAAATTTTGGTTGGATTTCGAAGATTCAGCAGTCAAGAAGGGGAACTTAAACAGCAAGTCAAAGAGAAGCCTGGCTGTATAATAAGCATGTAATTCTTGACTGTTGCATCCTTTGAGACCTGTGTCAGCTTGTAAAAGCACGCAAGTTTTTATAGTTTAAGACCATTGCTCAAAAAGTTAAGTGTCAGAAAAGGTATCTCGGTGCCAAAAACAGAGGCACTACATGAATGAAAAATGTTTACATGCCAAGTTACTCTTGAAGGGAAATGCTGCTATCACTCAGAATTACAATACAACCTAACTGGCTACATTCAACACAGTGACAGTTACTATGGGACCACAGTAGAGGAAGGGTTTGTAGCAAGGCATTTGCTTTGCTTGCAACTTATCTAACTATTTACAGCATGATAAATTAGAAATAGAAAGGCTGCAAAGCCATTCGTCCGAACCTGTTGATCTCAAACGGGGAATCGAATTCTATTTCAAGCTTGCACTTTGGCCTTATTGTGACAGTTGCTTCTCACTACTAGCACTTTTCATAGCTGGGAGATCCACGGTGCGAGCGATTAGGTTAAAAAATTTTGTTCGAGTTGGACACGTTGCACTGCTTCACGATCTTAGGTGGTAATCTGAATGAGGAACAGCTGATGTAACTCCCAGCTTTCATGGTCTCGGTGTTGGTGAATAGTGATCAAAATCCCCCAGCAACGCTGAGCAATCATTTCGGCTGCGCTGCATCCAAGGTCCCCTCTCAAAGGTGCGTGTATTCCGAGCATGATGAGAGGTAGTGTCTTCATCCATGGTGTAACAGCCCTTTTAGTCGACTTGCCTTCAGCTGTCTGTGAAATCTTTTTAACTCTCTGCTGAAGATAATGTGATAGGATGTTGTGTGAATAAGTTTCGCACAAAGGAGACCTGAAAGGTTCTGGAAGAGTGTCGACTCAAATCGTCTTCCTCAGTGTGGTGAAACAATGGTCGATATTTCAAAGCAGCTAACCCATATGCTGACAAAGTCCCGAGCTGTGGTTTCTGCTCTTACGGACTTAATGGGTAATGCCCCAGGCCACAGCGTGAAGTGTTCAACGCAGGTCAAAATGTGCCTGCAATCTTCAGCTGGTGGAAATGATCCCACCATGTCGAAGTGAATGTTGGTAAGTGCCTGTCAGGAGGTAAGAACTTGCCAAGTGGTATAACTGTGTGCTAAACAATGTCCGCATACTGGCATTGCAGACATGCTTGCGACCCTCTGCTATGTGAGTGAGCGAAGCAAATGCCTTGCTAATAATTAAAACGGAAGTAATGTGTCCCTGCTTTTTTAGTTTTTTGAGACCTTCATTTCCATCTACTTTGCCTTTATCGCAACCTAGCCTCAGCTAACTGTCAAACGTTCAACATGCACAAGTTCCATACATTCAATAATGACTTCTCGGAACATCATGACAGCTAGCAAAATATTAAAAGAAGTTCACTAGAACTGCTAAACCCAAACCAAACTCTGCGCCAAGATAATGACGCAATAACTAGGTCACACCGGAACTGTTGGCAGTGCAATATGCTCGATGCGAGTCGTGCACAGTTCATAATATCTTGTATGGGTCGATGCACGGCAAAAGATCGTTGCCCGCGGTTGTTCGAACGGACCTACCTTGTCCTCGAGTATCTTTTTCCTGGCTTTTAATTCATTCACAGCCTTTTTGATGTCCAGCTCCGGCGCCCCCATTTCCTTGAGCTTCCTCACCAAGTCGCCCTGAAATTAATAAAAAAAAGATATAAGAGAAAAAGAAAACTCGTAATTAACTATATACGAAGTAAGAAGTGTTTCCGGCGGTACATACTGCACGGAACGTAAGCGTCTGTGTTTCGAGCGGTTTCGAGCAAGGCTTTGTCCGCTTCGCGAACCGTATGCAAAGCGGTCAACGCCATGAACTTGTTCCGACACGGGAGAACGTAATACGATGTAGGTGATCGTTTTGAAGTAGAAGTCAAGATCTGAATACACCTTGCTCCCATTTAGAAAACTCGGAGCAGTGCGGGCATTACCTGTTCCTTGACAGAGCTCCTCAGAGGTTCGAGGACTTGGTCGTCTTCGGGCTTGGTCATTTTTCTGACAGCGGTCAGTTTATGTAAGCGAACTTTCTTGTTGCCCCAGTTGGCCGGTAGCTTACAGCACACGTGGCACGTCGAAAAAGTGCGGCTCAATAACAGCGGCGATCGCGAGCAGATTGCTACTACCGCTCCTAAAGTTTCTAGAAAAGCTCCGACGAACATTCACTTTCAAGGTAATCCCGTTTTCGACGTCCACATGTCCAGACCAGACGCCGGCGAAGCGCGAGGTACAAAAAAAATGTAAGAAAACGAGAAAAGATATTTTCTTGCGTATGGATCGCTGTTTACCCGGTTTATCCCGCAAACACTGAAACAAACGGCGGCCATCTTGGTACACCTAAGTGTTGGCCTGCAGCGAAAACGAAACTGAATATTCGGGATGCATAAAATAGCGTTTTTCGCCTCTTGTTCTTGCCTTTTTTGCGTACACTGAGTAAGACAGAGCATTGCTTCTCCAGCAGTGGGTTTAAACCTTCCCAAAAAAGTGTCCCCGTCAGATTTCTCGCGCCCCTTCCAATGCCACTGGGCCTTTTTCATCGCAAAAATAAGTAACGCGTCGCCACTCTTCTGCTGGAAATGCGGAGCCCATGCCCATTCACACTGACATCTGACAAGTTCAGGCTCAATAAGATTCAATGTGAAGTACAGCGCCTAGTAGCAGCAATGTGCACAACTTAGCGTTTGCTCATTGATGCTCTTAGTAACACTGCAAAAAAACTGCAATCTGGAAAAAGGGGTATACTCATGACTGAAGTGAAGCCAACTTTGGGGATAGAACCTCAAAAGCACCAATGTGCATGCACCGAGTTGCGTAGTCAGGGATGGAAACTTATGGGGCTGGCCCACACACTTTCTATTACATTCACACTAGCTGTCAGCCAATTTCATACCACCTTGGTTAGGTCACGCATGCAAAATATCACAATTTTCAATGCCGCACTAATTGTTTTCTTAACACTGTGCATTAAAGGGCAACTCCGCTCAATTCCGAAAAATTTAGGCTTCCATGTGATTCACATTCATAAAGCACTACTAAACAACTCTACGTCTTCGGATTTGCGAAAGGTGGAATATTATTTGTGTAATCCTAATTTAAACATCAGCAGATACCGAAACCGAAACTTCGGTTGCGTCAGGCGACATCGGTCTCGGGTCGTCAGAGGCATGGCACGTCACGTCGAACCAAGTGGTCTTGTGACGTTCGGGAGGGAGCGAAAAACAGGACACGCGACGCGGGCAGGTTTTTATTTTTTTTTATTTTTTTTATTGGACGCGGGCAGGTTGCTTCGCCTGGCGTGGACGGTGATGGCCTGAAGGAGAGGGGGAAGGGGAGAAGTGAAAGAGAAGGGGAGCGGAGAAACAGACCGATGAGCGCGCAGGGCAGCGCAAAGTAGCGCATCCGTGTTACGGTGATCACGTGAATGCCCGGTCAGCCAACACCGGGAGGAGAAACTCATGACGTCATCGTTCAATTTCGCTCTGAGAAGTAAAAACAAGCAAAACGTGAGAATGACGTATCATGCCTCTGTCGTAGTGGCTCAATGTTGGCCGCTCCAACTCCGTGGCATTGACTGCGCTGATGATTGCGCCTCGCGCCGCACGCTAGTGTTGGCAGATTTCGGCGACTTGGCTCGCTTGAAGGTTTGTTGGCCAGTTTATTATATAGATAAACGGAATTAGATCGTAATATTTGACGTGGGGTCTTCCTATATGATACTGAAGAGGGCTACATAGTTTTCTAAATATCAAGAATGAAGCGGAGTTGCCCTTTAATGACTGGGAACAATTTACCTGACCATATTGTAACCAATCATGATGCTATTTTATTTAAAGACCAATATGTAAACAATCGTAAAACTGCTGACCCTGACTTCTACTTTTGCTGTGTTAGCTTGGCCCAGCTCGTTTGTCTACTTGTTTGTCTTGCCTCGGCGGGATCTGTAATGGATCCTCAATACGTGACTTTTGCGAGCGCACGGGGTTGCGGGCCCAGCTTGTTTACGCTTCGCGAGAGCGTGAACTGAACTTCGCCCATAGCGCCTGCCTGGGATGAAGAGACCGTTGTGCCTGCGTGGGAAGAAACCTCAGACAGAACGACCGGAGGCACGCCACGTATACGCACGCAAAAGAGACCATGTAATCAGAAGTTAATCTAGTATAATATACGCTATTTCATTTTCTCAAATCAATGTCGCATTATTACATAACGTAACGTCAGCACCCGGCCACCGCTGACATGGCGCAGTCGATAGGATCCGCAGACTCCAACGAAGCCGGTGACCACGCCCTGATCACGGACTCCAGCAAGGGAACGGAAACCACCAATCAGGATTCAATGCGTCAAGAGATACAAGATATCAAAATTCAACTCCAGCAACTAATCCTGGCCTTCAACAACGCACTTTCAACGCCACACCCAGAAAATGGCGTCAACGTGACGGACCGAAACGGACCAGAACGAGAAGTAACCAGGACGGATGCTTCTGCGCTGGGCATTACAACGCAGGTGAGCGGCAACGCAACAACGGTTGATTTGCTATCGGTCATCGTCCAAACGCAACAACAACTGGCCGAGACCCTACGACAGTCCACGAGGCCCCTCCACGTCCACTCCACGAGCGACACTTCGCACGCGATTCCCACGTTCGAGGGGGAGTCATACGAAAACGTCGCTGAGTGGCTTCGAGAAATCGAACGAGTGGCTCTCCTCGCAAACTGGGCACCAAACCTCACTCTGCTCAACGCCGACACCCGCCTTCACGGTGCAGCACGACACTGGCACAAGTCTTACGGTTCCCGGATCGACGACTGGGAAGTATGGAAGGAAGCCATCAAGGAACGCTTCCAACGAAAAATGGGACTTCAACAATTTTTGGAGTACCAACAACGCCGACAGCTCCGCCACGAGAGCATTGTGCAGTACATCTACGCGAAGAATGCCATGCTCGAGCGAGCTCCCTGTGAGCTATGAGCCAGCGAACGCATCTCTTTAATCTTACACGGAATCACCGAGGACAAGTGGGCCAATCCCCTGGCAGCCCAAGGCTGTAAATCGGTCCTCGAGCTGATTGACTGCGCGACGACTTTGGACCACCGCCGTCCCAGAGAAAAGACTCAACCACGCAAACAAGGCACGCACGAGCATTCGACATCAACGCAGCAAACGACAGGCGCCCCGACCAGCACCCTGACGAATGCCCCATCACCGAAACCCTTCAAACGCACGAGGCAGAGCAACTGTTTTAATTGCGACCAGCCCGGTCACTTCTCCAGGGACTGTCCAGAGCCGAAAACTGCAGCGACCATCCGTGCAGAGGAGAAACGCGCACAAAAGGGCGCGGGTCCAAACGAGAAGAATGTCCACTGCTTCTTGCGCACGACAGGAGATTCTCTCCCCATCGTCACCGCCTTCACGGAGAACCGTCCTTTGAAGGCGTGCATCGACACTGGAGCCAACGTATCGATCATCGATCCCAGGGCACTACCCCAGGACGCTTACGTATCGTCGTGGTCCCGAGCAGAGGAATTTGTCAACGTTTTGGACAACAAGCTTACGCCTGACAAGTGCACGTCTCTGACGATCAGCGTTGGATCAACGACGGTCAAGGTACCGGAAATACTCATTCTTCCACTCCCCAAGTCAATTGACCTACTTCTCGGATCAGATTGGCGCCAACTCGCTAACGTGGAGGTCACGTTTCACGTTTCGAACGACATAACCATCGTTGAACTACCTGAACGTTACGATTCGCCCGCCGAGATTCCAAAAGCGGCAATCTCCGGAGAAGCTCTGGTGTCCAACTTTCAGGAGAAACTGCCCCAAACCGAACGCCTGGCCATGTTCGTGAAGTTCGAGCCAGCACGGAATGACATCGAAGCAGCCCTAATGCAACGAATCCACACGGCTGCGGACAGCATTACCGAAGACGCTTCGCCGGAAGAACGCGAAAGACTTTTGGGATACTCACAAAACACCACGCTGCGTTTACGACGGTGAAGGAACAACTGCCCACACGCCGAGCATTCCATCGAGCTACGCGACGAGATCCCCGTGGCGTCGCGGCCCTATCGATGCTCCCCAGCCGACCGAGAATTCATCAAACGACAGGTCGAAGACTATCGCGAGCGTGGAATTGTTCGCAAAAGCCAAAGCGAATATGCTGCACCGACGCTTGTGGTAAACCAGCCGAACCATCCCTCGACTCCCAGACGAATGGTTTACGACTACCGAAAATTGAACGCCAAAACAGTCAACCCGCTGTACCCCATGCCTCGAATGGACGACGCACTCGACGATGTAATGAGGGACGGCTCCCGTTACTTTACTGTTATGGACGTCAAGACCGCATTTCTCACCATCCGAGTGAAGCCGGAAGATGTTCACAAGACAGCCTTAGTCACTCCACATGGCAAGTACGAGTATCTCCGCATGGCCTTCGGGTTCTGTAAAGCGCCCCAAACTATGCAAATGGTCATGCGAAGAACTTTCGACGGACTTCCCCGAACAGCAACGTACATGGATGACGTTGGCCAAGGCGCAAAAACCGTAGCTGAGGCTCTGGAACTTCTAGACGAAGCCCTACGACGCATCGTTGTGAACGGACTCCGCATGGACATCGCGAAGTGCCAGTTCGTACGAACCAGCGTTCAATTTCTCGGGAATGTGAACACGGCGGAAGGCAGAACACCCGATCCTCAGCGTGTTTCTGCAGTCGACAAGTTTCAGACCGAGAGGGATGCAAAGCATCTTTACTCATTCCTACAGTTCCTAAATCACTTCCGAAAGTTCATCCCGGACTTCGCAACACGATCATCACCGCTGCGTAAGCTACTGCTGAGGGACGCGAGCTTCGAGTGGTCTGACGAACATCAAAGGATCACCGACGAGCTGAAGCATTGTCTGAAGACTCCGCCGGTTCTGGCCACCTTTCGGAGTGAGTGCCCCAGCACGGTTCACGTGGACGCGAGCCAAACGGGCTTTGGAGCGATCCTAACGCAGAGACACGACTCGTGCGACAAGGTAATCGAATACGCAAGCAGATCTTTGAACGCGCACGACAGCACCTTGCACATTAACGTTCTCGAGTGCATGGCGCTACACTGGGCCATCAAGGAAAAGTTCGCAATATATTTGCGCGGAGGCCCACGATTTGCAGTCATTACGGACAGCATGTGCCTCACATACCTTGTTAAGAACGGCCTCACCAACCGAAGATTTGCACGGTGGATCCTCGACCTCTCGGACTACGAGTTCGAAATTGTACACCGACCGAG